CACCCCAACTTTGGCCAATGGCTGACCTACCCCTCAATACATATTCCCCTCTGCAAACACATGTTGTCATTTGTGGAAAAACCCGGGAAAAATAGAATAAACTAAACAAACAAAGACCTAAAAGAACAAGCTAGAAAGGTTGAATACAGATCGATGCCCCAATACTAGCTTTTAACGAGGAAAAATGTGGGTCCAAAACCATCAAACAAATTGATCAACATACAAAGGACATTCAAAAAACCGGCCGATCTTTGCCCAAATACTAGTTTTCAATTACGGGAAATTTGGGGCACCCCAAAGAATCCAAAAAATACGTGTAACAATTCAAAAAAGACAAACAAAAGGAGACCAAGATGACACCATATGACACCCTTTTTTGAAAAGCACTGAAAACGAATAAATGCCTATATATTATATTGTTTTTTTGAGGTAAAGGCAAAGGCTCATAAATGTTTGGTCTCAAAGTTTCAAAGATTCTTAAAGATTTGCAGCTCATAGATTTGTGGGCTTAAAATTCAGTCTTGTTGGGTGTCCAGCTTGATAGATTATTTATGATGTTTGGGGCCTGGGGTTGAAAGCTCACATGATTTTTTTGGCCAAGGCTTCCAAGGGTTTGCCCTAAGACAGGAAACAAACGATAAACATGATTTGGTGTTTGCGGCCTGTATTATTTGGGGGTGAAGGGTCGTGGATGTTTAGTCTCAAGTCTCAAGATATTGCGACTTTTTTTGGACCTGGTAGATTTGTGGGGCTTAAGGTTCATTGATTATTGGGCCTGAAGTTTCTTCATGTTTGGGGTTGAATGCTCCCATAATTTCCAGTTTTGTGGCCTATGTTTTCGGGAAAACTCATATGCATATATATATATAAATAAATGTCTATAGTCGTAGAGTTTCCACTTTTTTGGATCTTCCTGTGCATAGACTTCTGAAGCTTAAGATTCATACATTTCTTGGCCTTGCGTAGATGTTGGGACTTGCCGGTGACCTTCTTTGGTTTGAATTCTCATAGTTTGTTTGCGGCTTAACGCTGATTAAGAAAGCAAATGAATTAGTCGATCATATTTTTGTGGGTGAAGGCTCACAGATTTTGCGGATTTAAGGCTCATGTTCTTTTGGGCCTAAGGTTCAGACATGCTTGGGCCTCAAGGTTGGTAGACCGTTTCAGTCAGCATCAAACTTTATGTTCTTCGTAGTGATTCATCGATTTCTGGGTAGCTTTTGGGCTTCAGGTTCATAGTTTATTCGTTTTCAGTGTTTTTCAAAAAAAGGTGTCATATGGTGTCATCTTGGTCTCCTTCTTTTTGTCCTTTTTGAATTATTACAAGTATTTTTTGGATTCTTTGGGGTGCCCCAAATTTCCCATAATTGAACACAGGTCTCCGGGTTTCTTTTATTGTGTTTGCATTGTTATTTTTTCTACGTATCACTTGTGTAGTTTCGATGTGTTTTTAGTATTGAGGCTCTGTATTCAGGCTATCTGGTTTATATGTTTTCTTTTTCCCAGGTTTTTCCGCAGAGGACAGCATGCATTATATAATGGAGGAGAATATGGATTGAGGGGTAGGTCAGCCGTTGGCCAAAGTTGGGGGGTAGACCAGTGGTTGCCCAAAGAATTGGTGTGTAGACCCAGGAGGAGTAGTCTGTAAACTTTGAGGCGCAAAATCTACAAGCTGTAAACCTTCAAAACGTGTCAGGCTTAACCCTCAAACATCTATGAAGATTGAGGCCTGAAAACCTATGAACCTTGAGCGCTGAGCACCACAAATCCATGGACCGTAAGGCTCAAAGATCTTCGAATTTTTGAAACTAAACATGTTTGAGTCTTTACCTGGCTGCACACTCCAAATCTATGTGAGCCCTAAACCCCAAACATTGACCTAGCAGAATCCTAAAGCTTAAGCTCCGAGACTTTGGCATCCCAGAATCCTGAACCATAAGCTCGGATACCTTGACCTTATCAGCAAACTCGGTATGGAAGACAGATCAGCTTGGGTGTAGACCAGCAGCCCGTGGCTAAGCCCAAGAACAAATAATCAGAAATACAACCAATATCAAACAGTCGCCTAAAAACCAATAAACACAAGAATCCCTCGACGTAATGTCACCCGCAAAAAAGACTTCGTGCCCGTAACCTCGCAAAAAAGTCTGGATTTGAAAAAGTGCGTCAGTGCGTGGACCTGGCGTGAGCCCGTTGACCACTGCAAAACCTTATGGTTGATTTTATAAGCCCGTTTCACGGGAAATGGTTGGGTTCAAAGGGAGTGGGGATGTGGCCATCCTACCCCAAGCCACCCACAACGGGTAGGGACACCAGGGTCACCCAGGTGGCAAAACTGGGGCGCATTTTTTGAGAAAAAATGCGCGAGTCTGCAGCACCTCTCTTTTTTTTGGATTTGTGGCCTCAAGGAGCTATCTCATACATAATTTCATTGGATCAACATTTGTTTGCAAGAATCCAACCTTAGCGTCAAATCCACCCGTAATCACCCGTAAATCCCTTACGAACCCGTAACCTCGCGAAAAAACCCAGCTGAGGCTGCGCAAGTTGAGACACAAACCGTGGCAGAATAAACAGTAGGTTTGCTCAAAAGCCTTTCCAATGGAAATGGATGAAAGTGTGTTGTTACTTGTTGAAACACATCAAGTGGTTTCAATATGGATATGTCTGAGATCAGGTCTGTGGTGCGAGGTTTTAGACGTGATACATGATGTGATAATACGCAGTATATGAAATGAAAGTATATCAGCTGAAGAGCAAAAATAGCAGAAGAGCCGAATAGCATCCAGGACAGTGCGTGACCAAACCATATACTGTAATTATAGTTTTATTTACATATGCACATATATACATATAGACACAGATATCTTTAGATATGTACCTGGACTTTCCCTAGCGCGTGAAACGTGAAACAAAAAACAATGCGTGGGCGAAGCGCGGGGCCAACTTCAACGAATGGCAAAAGGCAAAACAGAGAAAGCAGGCAAGGAACATGAGACAAGAAAAGGAGACCGCAAGCATCAGGACAAGAAGAAAGGGAAGCAAAAGGCAAGGGGAGCATACAGATCAGAAAAGGCGGGCCAAATGCAGAGGAGGCAACCAAGGGACACATAGAGGGCATGGAGCAGGAGCACAGCCTGAGACGCAGACGAACCAGGAAGCCACGACGGGCCGCAGGAAGGAGGAGGAGCAACATATGAGATGATATAAAGCAATATGAAATGAAGCGGGGGGGGAAGGGGGGGGGGAGGTCGTAAAAATCCGCGCGAAGAGGAAAAACTAAGAACACAACAACAACAGTAACAGGAACATCCACAAAACACGCCGGCAAGCCGGCGGATTTCACTAAGCCAAATAGGATATGATAGCTGGGATATAATGACTCGCTGACTATGGCTATATACCTACGCATTGCTTTGGTGGAATTGCAGTAGCTGCACCCCCAAGTATGTACTTCCTGAGGGCGCAATGAGTATGAATCGAAGTTAAACTTGCATGGGTTTGCTCCGATGCCACACACTAGATACGCATTGCAGCGTGTTCTAAATGATTTTGGAGGTTATTTGTGAGTTTATTTGCATGTGTCCATGGGATTGCGGATGAACATCCAGCTCCGGTTGTCCAGTTGCATGGGGAACACGTCAAGCAAGTCATTTTATTGGTCTCATTTTGAAGTGGTCAATGTGGCACTTACCTCTAAGCTGAGGTAAGGCTATTTCCTACCTTAAGGTTCTCAGGTAAAATCCTGCCTTTAAGGTAAACAGTTTCCTGACTTATAAGGTAACTTAAGGTTATTTCTTAAGGTTATATGTTAAGGTAAAACATTTGGATAACCTTAAGGTTGTGCAGTTTGATGGTTTGATTTAGTGTTAGAATCATTGGAAATGCTCACAGTTTCCATGCTTGTGAATGTCTGATTTCTGCTAAAACCATGTTGTGTTCATCATTATGCAAAGCAAACATGCTTTGGAAAAACATGTTCTGTGTTAGGGATCATGTGAGTTCAATGTTGGATCCAATGCTAAATCTTTTGATTCCATTTCTCACAAAGCAGGTGCCACAATGTTTTTTCCAAACAAACATGTGTGCCATCATGTCTTTTTTGGGCCAAATTAAGTAACATCCTTGACATTCTAAGTAACACCATTCAACTTTTGGCCTTGGAAGCCATGGCCTTGTCAGTACGAAGGCAAGTAGCTGACCCCAACATTGGCATCAAGGAGTTGACGTAAGTGTTTCAAATTTATGTGGTGCAATGCAACAATTATGATTTTATGGAGCTGGTCAGTTGCCCTCGCCAGTATACTTGGTCTTGGAAGACATCACCAAATCCAACTTGGATGTTTCAAATTCACAGGTTGGTCAACAGTCTTTTGGGTGTGGCAGCAAATGGGGTGCTGCCAGCAGCAAAGGTCAAGCAAGCACTCATGAAATTGTCGGAATCTATGAAAATCAACCAGACCAAATCTTCCACTGCAGATTTTGCTGACAAAGTTGATCAAAGAATCAGAATTGTGATGGCCCAATACAGGCAAGTCAAAACCAATCCATATGAATACCAAAGGCTGATGAAAAAAGCAACACCTGAAGAGAAAGCTGCCATAGATAAAGTTTTGAACAATATGTTTGTGGAGGCACCAGCAACGAAGAGTCCTGCTGTTGCTTCTTCTTCTGAATTGGCAATGGTTCCTTTTGGTGCCTCTGCTAGCAAAGAAGCTGGCCCCCAAGAGGTGGTGGTTGCACCTTCTTCTAGCTCTTCTTCTACAAGCTCAAAGACAGGCATCTTCAGCAGGATTTTGGCAAAGCAAGACAGCAGCCCTTCTTCTCAAAAGAAGGTCCAGCACTTTGTTGTACTGGCAGCCAAAGCAGCTCCAAGTGAACCAGCAGCCAGAGCTGCTAGCCCAGCCAAGCTCCAAAGGAAAAATGCATTGTTCCAAGATAGTGGCGGGTTTTGTGTCCCAGGTGATGACACTGCTTCTGAACTTTCCATGCCTAGCCCTATGAAAAAGCAACCCAAAAGGAAACAGTCCAGCTCACAAGCAGATTTGTCCACCAACAGCAAGGAGAAGAAAGGCAAAGCTGCAGCTGCTACTGTTTGCAAAGGGGACTTGTCAGATGATGACCTGGAGTTGGTGGAGAATGCTTTGGAGTTACCTATTGGTGTTTCCAAGGCAGGAAATAAAACCAAAAAGAAACCAGCAGCTGCAAAAGCTGTTGCCAAGAAGAAACCAGAGAAGAAGAAAAGCAAACAAAGTGAAGCTGGTGAGAAAGGAAAGAAGGATTCAAAGAAGGGTAGCCCAACCAAGAAGGGCAACAAAGACAAGGGAGGTTACACAGCCTCTTCTAAAAAGCAAAACAAATCAACAAAAGCCACCAAATCATGCCAAAAGAAAGGGAAGAAGAAAACAACTTTCAGGCACAGGGCCACCTCTGCAGCTTACCATACTGCCAAAAAAAGAGCTCTCAAGCAAGGGCAGTCAATCGAATGTGCCAGGGCAGCTGGCAGAACTGCCAGTAGAAAGGCTGCAGAGGACATAGATTCTGGCCTCCTCAAGGACCCAGAAGAAAACAGTGATAAAGAATGCTGATTTGCAAGCCAGAGATTATTGCTCCAACATTTGACTGCACAGGTAAAGGTTGAGAAAAAACGTGCTGCTTTTGATTCTGCTGTGCCAGTTTGGGATTGCAAATCTGCTGCTGGTGGCATCAAATGTGGCATTTGTTTTTCCCTGTGTCAAGAATATTCTTGCTTCAGGATTGTGACACCTTGTGCTTAAATAACATTCCCTGTCTAAGTAGCATGTCAAACTCTAAGTAGCACCTGATGAATCTAATAGGTAACATCTTGTGCCTAAATGACATTTTGTGTTTAAGTAACATCTTGTGTCCAAATAACATTTTGTGCTTAAGTAACATCTTGTGCCTAAGTAATATTTTGTGCTTAAGTAGCATCTTGTGCCTAACTAAGATCTGTGTCTAAGTAGCAAGCAACCCCCCTCTTCTTCTGCCTAAGTAACACTCACCTGACTTTTTGTGCCTAAGCAGCTCCAGGCTCAAAGAAGCTACTCCAGCCCTTGTTTGTTTTGTGATGTTGTTGCAAGCAACAGAATTTTTTCTTCAAACAATTGTATTCCCAAGGTCCTAAAGCATGTTGAAAAATAGTAAACACACAGATGAGGCCACATGTACATTTTTCTGTGTCACTGTTCCCTTGGTCCACCAATGGCTCTTTTCAAGCTCTACATTGGTGGTGTATGGACTGGCTATGGCCACAATGAAGTGGCACAATGGCTGTGGGAGAGTACCAGCATACAGCCTCTCAGCATTCGGTTGTATTCAAAAGGGGCTGATGCAACCAAGCAATCAGCCTTTGTTGGGTACCCCACTGAGGGTTTGGCTAGGCAAGCTCTGGCCATTTTGACACAAAGGCCTTCAATGTGGGGAAGCAGGGTTACAGTGCTGTGGTCCAGGGACAACCCCACCACTACTGCTGATCCTGATAAAGCTACAGCCCCTGCTGCTTCACCTTCTTCAACTTCCAGCAGGCTTCTTGAATTTGGAATGCAAGCTGGCCCAAGCTTCAAATCCTTTGCAGACAAAGGTGTGCAAACTGCCCCAGAGGCAGCACACCAAAAGGATGAAGGGTTAGAATGTGGCCAACCTTTTGCCCAAAGGCAGGATGTACAGATTTCACCTGGCCAAGAAAAGGAGCTCTTTCCAGAAGGTCCTTCTGAACAAACTGTTTTGGTGACACCCACTGAAAGGGCTTGCTCTCCAACTTGTGGTGGCACCACTCATGGCTCACCAACCAGCCCCACTTCAGAAGCTCCAACAGCAGTGGGTGAACTGGCAGAGGGAACTTGGCAAATGGCAAAAAGGGTCAGAGAATTAGCTGCAGCTGAAACTGGGCAAGGCAGGAAAAAGCTGAAGACAGAAGTCAAAAGTGAGAAGGCTAGCAGCTCAGACAACTAGCTGGCTGTGGAAGCAACGTATAAAAAGGTGTGCTTGCTGCTTACCATGTCAAAGTGGTTTTGGGCAGCTTTGCACAAGCAAGGGAATCATTCCAAAGTTCTGTGCAGCTCAAGTAGCATGTTGACTAGTAACATGTCGGCTAAGGTAACATGCTGACTATGTAACATCCAGTGACAATTGTTGGCATGACTCAGGTAGGCCAGCACCAGGTTGGAGACTGTTGCTTGGTTTGTTTGGCTCAAGAGGTGCATACACAGCTTTCTTTGTGACCCACTTGGTGGCTGTTGTTGCTGAAGGCTCCCTGCCATGGACCTCAGCAGCTCCACTGAGGAAGAAAAAGCAGCCAGTTTGCAACACATTGGCAGCTGCCATGGAAAAGGTGTGAGAAACAAAAACTACCATGGCTACACCCAAGATGATGATGGCAATTTGGTCAGGAAGAGGTGTGCTTGTTGTGACCTTGAATGCAGGCTTTGCAAGGAATGGGCACTGCAAACCTTGAACAACACCTTGAACCAGAGCACAAGGCCACCAATGAAAGCGCCACCTATGGACAAACACCTGGTCATGGTGTACTTGGGCAGCTTGGCAGCATGATTTGATCCAATACCACAGCAGCAGCATTCCTTTAAGTATTTGTTTGAATCACATGTGTCTATGTAACATGTATAGGAAATGCATGTTACCCATTACCTTGAGGTAACATTGCCTGACAAACATGTTTTCCAACAATTGGCAGCAAACCATACCATTTATTTTCTAAGTAACATGTACTACTTAGGTAATATGTATTTAGGTAACATCAGTTTGCATTTCTCTAAGTAACATATCCTTAGGTAACAGTCTAAGCAATATAGTCTTGATCAACAGTTTGGCCTGGGTAACATTTATCTAGGTAACATTGATGTGGGATCAGCTATCCCTGGTTTCAACAGGTGAGAAGGGAACAGTGAAGAATGAAACAAAAGGAAAAGGAGGCAGGACACTCACAAACAGAATATAGATGTGATTGAAGCCATGTATGTTAATTCACTGTTTCAAGTGGAAAGATTCCAGGCCATAGCCAAGGATACGTACCAAAACATGGAGGCAAAGGACCATCATTGGGTAGTTTATCTGCAGTTTTGTTTCTTCAATGGTTGCATTGTGTTTCATCTTGGTACTTTTTGCAGGACCTGGGAAAAGTAAACAAGACTGGTTTGAGATGGAGCAATACATGTCCATGATGGAGGAAGAAGGACTGGATTAGATTGTTCATATTTCAAGCTTGTTTTCGTTACTTTTTTGTTTTTGCAGGAGGTTTCATGCCCAGTGAAGGCTCCAGCTCCACTGAGAGGACTGGTGTTTCAAATCTACATTGCATTCATTGTTTGTTCTCTTGTCTCTGGTGTTTGGTGGCAGGACCAGCTGAAGATGACTGGGAGCTGCACTGGCAACAGCTGTGCAAAATGCAGATCTACCTTCAGTGTGCTTCATACTTGGGAATTGGATCAAGTCACAATCTAGTTGAATGATATCTTCGGTTTGGGCTAAATTTGATTTGAGAATAATTTTGTAGAGAGTTTCAACTAAGTAGCATTCTAGATAAGTAATATATTGTGGCTGCAAAATATTGATTTGTTTCTATGTTGGAGTTGAACTAAGTCACAACTTGTGTAAGTAATATGTAAACCTTGGTCTGGGTCACATTGAGAAGTTATGGGTTAGCAGGTTAAGATGGTTCTGGGCTAGGTCGCAATTTTGAATTGTGAAGCTTTGGATTCATATATTTCCAAAAAGAAACCCAAAGAAAAAGTAAAAACAACTGTTTTTCTTGATTTTTTTGATTGATTCTTAGTGTCACTTTGGTGGCTGTTTGGTGGCACTTTCTAAAAGTGACACCAAAGTGACATACCCTAAGTGTCACTTTGGTGTCACTTTCATAAAGTGACACTAAACAGCCACCAAAGTGACACCAAAGTGCCACCAAAGAGACACCAAAATGGGACCAAAAACACACCAAAATGATATTCAACTTTGTCAAAAAAACAAACATTTGTGGCATTAAGGTCACCAAAATAAATTGGATTACCAGCCATGTATGTGGGTGCTCCTGTTTCTGAGAGGTTGCTTTGCCAATTGTTTGGCTCCAGTGTGTTAGGTTCAGTTGCAATGATTCAATATGTTGGTGGCACAATTAGCATGTGTGTTTACTTTATAATTGCATCTGTTCCTTTTTGACACACTCATACACACCACACACATGGCACAATCCAGTGCCAGGTTTTGGTTTCGCCAGCCAAAGTACCACCTAGGGTTTGGACAGTTTTTTTTAATCAAGCATATACCATGTAAGTAACAATGCTAGCAAAACATAGGCAGAGATAGAGCATTGCCAGGCAAAACACTGCAGTTTCACAATTCAGTTTCACAATGGCTCCAAAAGCAAAGAAAAGGCCAGCAGCCCACAAAGCGGCTGCTACAGAAACAACAGTTTTGGCAATTGCAGATACAGAAGTGATGGAGAACAATGAGGATGACAAACAAGAAGAGGACAATGGTATACAGGAGGAACATGGGGAGGAAGAAAATGAAACAAAAGCAGGAGAAGAGGAAGAGAAGGAGAATGAGGATGGAACAACAAAGCCAAAGACAGCCAAAACAAACAAACAGAATAAGTTATACACCAAGCCCAAGGCAAAGGCTAGTGGGAAAACACCCAAGAAAAATATGAAAAGGCCAGCAAGCAAAGGCCAAGATGATGATGATGAAAAGAAGAAAGAAACTTTGGCTGCCAAATGTGAAAAGTGGCAGCACCTTGGACAGCAAGGAAAAAGAAGGTTTGCAGAGGATGAGGAAGAGGAAGGAGAAGATGATGATCAAGACAACACAGAAGAGAAGAGGCACAGAGGCAAAGCAAGGAAATTTAAGAAGATTGCAGATTCAGGTGCCATCCCAGACCATATCATGCAGATATTTGAGAAAGAAGCTTCGAAGCACCCCAAACCAAGGAAGTTCAAGTCTGACCTTATTAACAAATTATTCAAAGAAGATGGCAATGGTGGCTACACTATGTGTGCAGATGACCCTTGGTTCCAGCAACAGAAGGAAATGCTTCATAAGAAGTATGGCAGAGATGAGCACCAGGGAACACCAAGAGATGTCTTTGCCTACCAGGTTTTCCATGGTAATTTTGACGCTTTGGATGCAGCCATTCAGAGAGGCTCAGTTCAACAGTGGGACCAAGATGGGGTGGAATTCTGTGGGTACAGAAAAACAAAAGCAGGAGTTGCAAATGAAAAGCAGGAAGCTACCAAGTTTGGTGGAAAACAAGTGCAGCTCAAAGGCAGCCAGTACCAGGCACTCAACAAGGCATTCAAAAGTATGTCTTGGAATTTCTCCGACCCTCAGCAGAACACATTGCCACTTGGAAATGGTGGTGCCAATTCTTCTGGATCAGGGAAGAGCAAGCCTATTGAAAATGCAGGTTTGACCAAAGAAATGATGGAGACATTGGCAGAAGCAAAGAATGCACATGAGAAGCTGCATTCTACAGCAATGAAGTTGCTCCACAAGTGTTCCTGCCTGGATGACAAGAAAGAATTCAAGGCAACAGTCATTGCTTTGAAAGATTGGTCTTTGAAGAATGACAGCATTCTCACTTGGCAGGCTTGGCTTTTTTGCTTGCTATAACACAAGATTCTACATATGGACATGGCAACTTGGCTAATTATGTTTCATGTTGTGTTTGTGTGTTCCTTGCCTGCCAGGAGCTCCCAGATGAACAAGCTCTGACACCTACAAATTTTGGAGTCTTTATGACTGAGCAGGCAGTAGCAACCAAGAAATTGAACGAAGAAGTGGAAAAATTCAAGGCTTTGTTGAAAACCAGGGGTGAGCTCTGAATGGAAAATGTACAGTAGTCCATAGCACGGCATGGGCCATCACCTACTTTTGGCAAAAGATGCTGTAGGTTCTTCTGCCACCTACAAATTGGTTTTCCATTCATTTATTATCAACTTTCCCAAAGCAAGACCAACCAGCTGGTATATTTGTTGCTTTACTTTGCAGGGGGGGGAGTGTGGCCCAGCAATGCTTTTTTTAGATGGCAGGTGTTTCAGCAGAGGCAGGCTTGCAGCCAGAAAACAATGTGGCCAACTGGTAGTTTGGTTGTTTGACTTTGCTGGGCAATGGCATGAAGCAACACTTTCTCAAGTAACATCCCACAGCCACATCCTTAAGTAACACTTGTGGGAAGCATCTTTGCTAGTAACATCTGGTGGCCCCCCTATGTAACAATTTACAGTAATATGCCTAAATAACACTTGCTAAGCAACATTTTGGAAAGGTACCAAACCTCTGCAACATTTCCTCTTAGGTAATATGTCTAAGTAACATAAGGTTCCTAAATAGCATCCTGCAAGCATTTTTGTTGGACCTTTTTTGCTTGAGCAACACAAACATCCATGTTTTTGTGTTGCTGACAGTTGTGTACTGGCCCCAGCAGAATTTGATTTTCCAACAGTGCAATATGCTAATGGTGTTTGCAGCATGAAAGAATTTCTCTTTTCCAGCCAAGCATTATCTTCAGCTTTGCAGTTTTGCTTTCTCCCACTAAACCATGTCTTTTGCTTCAGCCATGGACATACCTGATGAGCCATTTAAAAAGAAAAGAAGAAAGGGTGGCATCAGGCAAAGGCTTGCTGCAGAAGAGACAGAAGCAAGTAGTACAGCCAAAAGCTTTTCATCTGAGCTTGGGACATCTTTGGTGGAAAGATGGGCTTGGGGAACAATGAGCCCCCAGGAGGTGCAAGACTTGGCCATGAAATGCAAACATGATTTTCAAAATGCTGGTGCTGCTCCCCCACACGACATTGTTTTCCTTTCTTCCATGGGAACTTCAGGTGCTCATAAGCCCCTTGGATCCCAAGCCATGGCATGTATTTTTGGGTGGCCTTTTGAAACTTTTTTTTTGGTTCCTGTGTGTTTGAAGGTTTTGTCAACAAGCAGCAGCCAAGGCAAAACATGCACAAGGCTTTGCTGGGCTTTGCAAACAAAGGCTGTTTGCTGCCAAGGGTTTTCATGCCAAGCATCACTTTCAAGGCACCCTACAACAAGCTATTGCAATTCATGCTCTTGCCACATTTGGTTTTCAGCCAAATCTACCATTGCTACAAAAATGCCTGGGATACTATTATTGTTCCAAGCCAGCAAAGGCTCAAAGAGTTTTGGACATTGCAGAAGCAGCACCCTGCATTCGCAGGCCACCCAGTGTTGGCTTCCAACCCTCAATTTGCAACCAAAATGGTGCCATTAGCTTTCCATGGAGATGGCACCCCAGTGATTGGGATTGGGAAAATTTGGAGCAGGCAATTAACCACTTTCTCTTGGAACAGCCTTCTTGGAAAGGGCAGCACCAAATCCATGCAGATGCAAGTTTGGTCTTGCTTTGATGAGACTATGGTGCCTTCCACTCTTGCTGAATTTTGGCACATTCTCGCTTGGAGTTTTGAATGGCTCCAAAAAGGTGTTTTCCCAGATGTTGACCATCTGGGGAACAAGTTTGAACCCAATACATTTGATGGCCAGAAGGCTGGGGAATATCTTGCTGATGGTTATGCAGGACTGTTGTGGAGCCTCCAAGGTGACTTGGAGTACTTCACCTCAGTACTCAAACTGCCTCACTATTCTTCCAAAAGTGGTCCTTGTTCATTATGTAAATGCACTGGTGATGCATCACCAATGACTTGGAAAGATTGTCGGTTAACAGCACCATGGGTCAATTCTCAGTGGAAGCCACATGAATGGCACATGTGGGAGAACAAATCCCCTTGCCCTTTCTTCCAGCTTTTGCCAGGACTGTCAGCTGTGGCAGTCTCCTATGATTTCATGCATTCAAAATATTTGGGAACAGACATGGTGTTCCTAGCTTCTTGCTTGTGGCTTCTTTGTTACAGAGTTCTGCCTGGTGATGATCCACTTGCCAATTTGCAAACATGCTGGGCCAAAATTTCAGCTGTGTACAAAGAGAACAAGATTGCTGACAGGTATCGGGGCATGTCAAAATTATCTCTTTTTGAAAGAAAAAAAGGTGGCCCCAAGCTGAAGGGCAGAGCAGCCCAGGTGGCTTCCTTAGCAATACCTATGTTTCATCTTTGGGCTGACAACATGGATGGTGGCAACATTCTCCATAAGAAGATCAAAACATGGCTCAAAATGAACATGCTCACAGAACAGATTTTGAAAGAAAATGCAGAAGGCTTAGCTTTGGAATCTGAATGCTGCTCCAAATTCAAGACAATGAGCTTTGCAATGGCACAATTGCACAGGGACTTGGCACAAAGCTATATGGATGAGGAAGTTACACTCTTTTCAGACATTCCAAAGATACACACTTGGCTGCACAGTGTCCTCAGCAGTCATGTGTTGAGTCCAAGACTTACTTGGTGCTTTCGACAAGAAGATTACATGTCTGTGCAAAGGACATTGGCAAAAAGTTGTTGCAAAGGGCTAAAAGGCCCTCAAGTCACAGCAAAGATCATCAGCAAGGTCCGAATTGCCATGCACATCCATTTGAGCAGCTTCTGAGAAAAACCTTTTTGCAGCTTTTTCATGGGAGCTAAATTCTGTGGGCTGTTGGCAATGGCACATTTCTATAGAACATATTTGGCTAATTATCAGTTTTGGTTACTGGAAGTAACATGTCCTAAATCACATGTTTTGGCTAAGTAACATTTCCTAAGTCAGATTTTTTTGGCTAAGTAACATATGCTAAAGATCATTTTTGGCTAAGTAACATGTGCTAAAATACATTTTTTTGTTAGGTAACATGTGCTTGGCAATATTCCTGGTTCAAAAACAACATTCTTGTGAAACCAAAAATGGTAAACTGTTGGTTAGCTAACTAAGGTTTTGAAGTATAACGTTAAGGCAACTTAAGTAAATAACCTTAAGGTTAAAAGGCCAATATGCTAACTTAAGGTTATCTGCTGTTCTACCTTTAAGGCAGGATTTTGTCTTAAGGTTGTGATCTCCCTTAACCTTTAAGAAATAGCCTTACCTCAGCTTAGAGGTTAATAGTCAATAAATAATAAATATTCGCCTAATATTTGACTGCGTTTGGTGGACCCCTATCTTGGAAGTTTTTTCCTATTGGTAAATCCACCAGTTGAGGAACTTTGGGGAATGTCAATGCTGGAATGTCATGGAACATGTGTGTTTTCCTGTTTCCAACACTAAATTCCACTGTTTTGGACAGTGGGTGGAGGCTTCAATGCCGGCTGATGCCCTTCGTGGGATCCGCGGATCTCAGGGGAAACAGCAGCCATTACTGGGCCTTCTTACAGTTCATGTCGATTGGTCGATCTTTATTTGGGTCAACATCATTGACCTCCTACTTCATTGAAACTCCTACTTCATTGCCATAGAGTCAGAGTTTTTTTGGGTACGCTCCCTGATCTTTGTTTGCGAAACCATGAGGCCCCAACATTTCTGCAGTCTCTCACTTAAAGCCTCAGCTTTCAGCCAATCCGAACCTGCCTGGTTAAAGAAGAAGCAACGTTTCTCCTTTTTTCGCAACATGACTTGGGCTGTGTCTGAAAGTACCGGGTACCTTGAAATCCACTAGTTGATCATCATTTCTATGGTCAATTTTTCATTTTGGTATATTTTGATGGCATTCTCTATTTTCAAAACACAGCCATTTGGGGGCCTGATGACTTTAGCGCACCAGCCGAGGATATGCCTTTACATTTTGTTTTTGGTGCCTTGATTGCACTTGTGACCACGTCACCATCCACTGGAGCCGGTCTTTGTTTGGTTAATGTTGTTTGCTTCATTGCAATGTCATAGATTATAACATTGATGATTATTTACTGCTAATATTTGGAGAACATTCACATGATTACATTCTACACTGCTGCTCTTAAAACAATAACATTGCTGTATTTGGTCAATCTCTATGTAGCCATTGATGACGTACTTGGAGGATGAGCCCTCTGTACACGAAGATTTCTTGTGGTGAGTTATGGTAAGTTAACCCAGTTTTGGTGGGTGTTCCTCAGTCCAGGTTACTTTTTCCCCAGGGAATTATGATGAGCGTGACTAGCTGTCCTGTCCAAGACTGCAAAATCCAATCTACGAATGCGGGGGCTATATATATATATGATGATGATATACGCATAATATACAGTAACTCTGTGTATTGATTTGTTCCTTTATCAATAATATGTGCAGGAATCATTGGGTATTCGTTAACAGGACACCTTTATTAGCCTTCATTTTACAAGAAATTGGATGACCACCTCCCCCATTGATTTCTCGCCCCCTTTGTGATTGGGCCCCGAAGGAGTTCAACGAGGAGGCATCGTGGAACTCCGGCCTCAGGTGCGAAAAAACATTGCAGAATTCCCCTAAATGGAGCTTTGAACCAATGAGAAAACCATAGAAACTGTCGACATGAAAAGCGGCGTTTTTTTGGGGGGGTGTAAATGTCTGGATATCCACAACTATGTGATAAAATATATGATTTCTAGCAGGATACTGTTTTTTTTCTTTGAGTCTTGGAGGAGGCCTCTCGGGAACCATATGACTTGGGGAAAATGCTCTGAGGAACAAACACGAAAAAGGAAAGCAGCCAGGGCGCAGTATCAAGAATTGTAACTTCACTATAGTTTTTCCAGTTTTTCCCCCGAAGAATCGATGAATATGTAATGGAGAATGATTTTCTGCATCATGGTTGTATTTAAACGGACCTCCACTTGAAACATGCTTGCTACGTTTTGATGGTGCTTCTTTGAACATGAGGCCCAAACTTGTTTTGTTTTCTTCTAGATAGTACATGCATAATAATTTACAGAAAAACATGCACCCAGCTTAGTGTACTTTAGCAGAAACAACTTATTTATCCTGTAATTACACTAAAATTACAACCTGTGAGATTTTCATTGTTTTGAAGGTGCCAGACAGGCACAGTGGTTGGTGGTTGGGCTCATGCGGACAATATACTGGAGGTGATCCCAGCCAGCCATTACCATCCTGCCTTCCGAAACTTCCAATATTTACTGTATATAATATACAATGGAAAAAAGTATTATTATTATAATATATATATATATGGAAATTCTGATTTTGGTGTCTTTTGTTGAGTTTTGAGTTCAATTCAAGATGTTCTTCTCAGTGAAGATCCATACTTAGCAAATGTGGCGGAAAACCCCAACAGTTTCACAAAGGATATGTTGAAGACAAATTTAAGCATCTCTTCCACCATTAAGGATTATCGCAGTAGTATCCAATGCGAATTGGTACCACCATCTATAGGTTGACTGTAGTTTCACCCAATCGATATATTCACCTTTTCAACCCAACTCAACCTACCGTTACCTACTGATCAAATACTGTGACTTAGCTACAGGGTGGTGCCCCCAGTTTTTTTTGGTTCATATGCACATTTTTTCAAAAATATATCATACTCTACCGTAAAACCAAGTTAACCTACTGAACCATTTAACGAACTGGGCAACCACCATGTGGCTATGGGCTCTAGCATGACTCTGGTGCTGCCTTTCGTGATACAGTGAGGTCCTTTGCAAAGTCTACCTGCGCACGTGGTTTCCTGTGGATTTTCTGATCATTTCCATTGATATTGCACCATGGCACCCACAGGTTGTGGTGGTTCAACCCCTGAAATGGGATGACCCCTGTGGCCATCATAGAACTATACGCTGTGATGAAAACTTTGCGCAGTATCATGGAAAACCCAAAGGCTGGGGTGAAAACACTGATTTCCCGGCATTTGAAATGGCAATTTTGGGTGTATCTATTGGTGATTAAGGGCGTGAACGCTTGGTAAGTTTGAGCAGCTTTAGCTCCACAGTGGCGGCAATATGGTAGGGCTGTCCAGTTTATTTTCTGAATTTGTCTAGATAGGAGTATCGAGTGTACATCACGTTGTTGGCTTTGGTAATGGCTACGTTTTTTCCCCTTACATTGCTACTATTGGTGGCCATGTTGCCGCTTTTGGGCGGTTGCCTTTTCTTACTTGGAATGCAGTTTTCGCTGGACAAACTGCGACGATATTTTCATGTACCGTCCCCATCCATGTTTGATTCCATCATCTAATTTCGTTCACAACTGGCTTCAACACAAAATGGTTTTCCATGTAGTTTCCATTTCACAACTAACATGTTTCCATTCATCCCATCAACCGTGTTTTCTTGCCGAGCCAACATTTGTTGCATGTGAAATGGTTCTCCAAACATTCGGCCACGAGGCAGTGATACTGATGGAAGCATTTGTCGATCGTTCTGTTGGCGGTGCTTTGCGCTCCATGCGCTTCTTGCGGTCCTTACGTGCCCTACGTGCTGTGACAGCAGGGGGGCAAGGTGAAAGTCGGTAGCCATGCAAATTTCCACCTTGACCTTCAAGTGCTTAGAGGGTGCAGGACTGGGATTTCGAATGGGTATTGTATAACTATGGCAATACATTCCATAAGATGGGATACAACCATATACAACCCCTATAACACTAGTCATACAACCGGCTTATTAGTGGAACTTGACCAACGATTAAAAGAGAACAGCCGTTTCTTGGTGCTATTTTGAGCGTCTAGGTGGATACTGTAACCGGTTGTGACTGGCTTTGGCGGTTTGAAGTTCCTACTTTTTCTATAGCCAACTTCAAGAACGGATCTGACAATAGCACTGCAAAACGGTGAAACGTCCTGAATAATGGATCCTTCAAAGTGTGTTTCCTATTTGACCCTGACAAGTTGTATTGCATAGCTCCATTTTGCAAAGCTGAAATGGAAGGGACCTCAATGATATCTTGGAATGGGCCAAAGGAATCGAATCCCGTATTTAGATGTATTTAGATGGAAGCCTTCTAGGTGATGGCCAACAATCACTGCTTTTCTAGGAAAAAGCCTTTAGTGATGTTTAGTCGTACAGTATGACACCTTTACGCAACGTGGTAAGCCAGGCAGAACCCGGTACAGTACATAAAACACACTATATATATATATATGTATATACGTATGTATACACCAAATGAAGAATTGTTGGTTACAAAACGCACTGGCTCATACGGGATACCAGTGGCATCAGATACCGATGGAGAGGGAGAGAGAGAGAGAGAGAGAGAGAAAGAGAGCGAGAGAGAGAGAGAGAGAGTGGCTACTTTAAACTTCTCAACACGATTTTCTTTGTTTTCAAAAAATCTATGTTGTTGCTCCAACCGTTACAGGTCAATGATAACCATTTTTGGGGTGACAAGTTGCAAGTGTGCCTCTTTATGTAACATTCTCTAATTAACCATTTTACATCCCTTGAATTTCGGGTGCTGAGAGCAACCATGTTAACCTAGAGCTTCCCAAGATTTTCCAATGGTTTCCCGTACATTTGCCCATAGATCAACCCACATTTTCCTGGAAAAACACCTGGACACGTCAGGCTTGATCCGTCTTCTACGTGTGGCAAAGCTCCAACGTGAGTTGTCGTTGTTGGCAAATCGCTTTCTCTCAACCTATGTCTTCATGGTCATGAGACTTGGCCAATGGTTGCCCTCTCGTTAGGTCGAACAGTTTGCTATGGAAGATGATGGAAGCAATGGCCCATGTAGTTCGATGATCAAAATGATGACTGGCCTTTTAATTATGATGGGCCAATGGCTAAAAATAATTTATAATGACATCTGTCAACAACGATCTGGTTAAAAGTGTGAGTTGATTGAACTGATATATCTGAGCAATGGTCATGAGACTTGGCCAACAATGGTTAACAGTGGTTGATAATGGTTCATGACTTGGCCAACGATTTGGGGATGCTAATGACAGGTAAAGGACATCTATTGATGGGATACTAACAGGGATACCCTGGGTATACATTGGACGGATACTGAGGATAAAGAGTGAGATAATAATCTGATTTTTAGAAAGGAAACAAGAACAAATTCGGATGAGTTCTAGCGACCGAATGTTGCGATGTCACTGGGATGGTCATCGCCGACAGCCGAATATCTGGCTATCGTGGATAGCCAAATTCCGGCACTAAATGGAGATTTATAGCTGGGGAAATGATGTCTATAAATGGGGGAGTTTGTATTGTCACGTTTGATTGCCGGGGTAGTGAATGATAACTTTGGAGAATGTTTCATGGTGAGATATGGTGAATGATGCAGTGAACTATACAGTTTTTCATCTCTTGCAAAAGGGACCTGTTTCTTTTTAGACCAGCTGAGTAAAATTGATCAACAGGGTATGGTGCTTTTGGTCTTGGCGTTACTGCACGTTTCCAAAACATGGTGATCAGCATAGACAAGAAAACCATTTAAAGTTCACCCACAAAACTCGGATAGGGGTAGGCCATCCTTTCAAAGGTTGATGATTGTTGGATTTGCTGAAGATGGTTGTTTTTGTTCCCTGAATGCTCCCGCTAGAAAATCTACTACTTGGCGAATCGATATAGGGAATATGGTCTATTTTTGGGGGTTCCTCATGCAAATCCAAGAAAAAGAACGTGGTCAAAGAACCGAAGCTTGTAATTATGAATGATGTGAATGATGGTGACCAACTTTTCCCCTGATCAACATGCTTGAAAAGGGAAGCCGACCCGAAGCACTGTAGTTTGAAAATATGCAGGCCAATGATTTCTACCCTACCATGTAGTCAATTCTCATCGTTTTCCCTACTATAATGATCTAAAACGTCCTGGCCCCTTTTTCTTCCATGTACAATATTTCTGTGTGCTGCTGGCACACACGACTTGCGCCCTTTTCCGCGGCACCGCCCACCAGGAGAATCGTGGCCGCCCTGATGGTCATGCTGTCCATCAACCATATCATCGCTTGCTGTTGGTTTTCAGTGGGTGCCAGGCTGGTCAGATGATCAGATGCAGATCTGGGCCCTTTACAATTAAAAAACTTGGGCATGCATGGTTATAAACGGGGTTATCACGGTTATCATTCCATAAATGGGGTTATAACATGTCATAACTGATTTATCACTGGCAAAGTTTAAAGGGCCATAGCTGTGTGTTCCATCATGAAATCTCTGCGGTTGTGGTGACAGTGAGGTGATATGTGACAATGAGGATGATCATTTTCCACTGGAGGGACGGTATGCTCAGCTGAAAATTCAGCTTGTTGAAGCAAGGTATTTAAGACTAAGCATGCAACGTATTTTTCAATGGATGTGTCTCCCCGAAATCGTGTGCTGGAGACATGTTTGAACCTGCAAGATGTACATATTTATGGTGTGTGTGTGTGACAAGCCCTTTTCAGATTGGCAAAGACTTTGCAGTGCTGAGCTGCAGTACAAAGCACATTTACCTCAAAACATGACCACAAATATGACACCCCAAAGATATATGATCTTAAACCCTCCAAGTATCCATGACAATCGGTCGCATCATGGGTCTACTACCCCATTTTGTAGGTACTTGGAGGGCCGAGCGGAAGATTGCACAATTCAATCCACCTGGCCCCCAACTCATCCAGCCGGCAGGGGGGCACAGAACAGTTGGATCGAGAATTTCAACTTGCAAGAGGTGGGCCGTTCATCGCCATCCGGAGCCCCGGGACCCCAACATGGATGTTCAAAGCTCACCGGCACGGGCATTCCTCCACGATTCATTTGCGCATATTTTGACATAACCAGAGGGTATATTCCAAGGATCAGGGACCCGGGACTCCATCTTCGCAGGCAGGAATCTTTGAATCCTACATCATTTCGCTTCATTGGAGCTTGACCCAGTTCACTCCTTCCACCAACAACATAGCGCCGGCCAATGAAGTGGAAAGGTGCAGCGGGCAGGGAGTCATAAGAAGATATCCCGGGACCATATGAATCAACTGATGTTATTTGATCAGCGTTCCTTGTTGGTTCATGATTCCAGGGATTCCGCTCACTCTAAATCCTTTGATTCTTTGTATTGTGGAATGAGATGTGTGAAAGTGGCGTCCGGCTCAAGAGAGCGTAGCACACACACACACTCACACTTCATTCGTGTTCTTTTATGACGTTTATGTTTTTTGGGCTACAACATGTTTCAATCGGCTTCGCTTTTGCCCGGTTGTGAAGACACTCGGATTCCCGAGGGCTCCAAACAACAACATCAAACAACGTATATAGTATATATATATATAATTAAAATATATATATATATATAATTTATATATATAATATATATATATAGATATTCATGCAATGTGTTCATGCCGTCAAATCAAACTTACTTCAAGTTCGGTCTTTCTGTGGCTCAAGCGCCAACCGTTGGATGTTGATGCAACAGTCGCTACTGCAGGCTGTTTGCAGTCTTCGTGATTCTGTTTGCCATGGGTCACTTGGCTCGGCTTGGCTCAGCTTGGCTCAGCTGAAGATGTTGGACAGTGACCCTCTTGCAGGATAATAAGGTGCCCACCGGCAGCTTTTGATATAAGCACTCAAATACGCCACATACTTATAGAAAAGGATTATAAGTTATATATATATATCATAGCAATTGCCAAAAAGATAGAAAAATAACGCGCGACACTTCACCGGATGATTTTGGTTTGGTTTTAAGAACTGTTTTTGGTGGGTGCAAGTGTGAAACAATCCAGTTGGAATTGGTGGAGGCTGAAGCCATGTATGCCATGGTCAGGGCACGAATGACAGAAAAGTTCTATAGATAGGAGAGTTGTCTGTTTACACCCATAGTCTATCATAATATCATATCATTTCTATTGATTGAAAAGTTGGATAGTATAAATTTACCCTCTGGTTATTTAACATAGCCATGGGAAATGGCCCATAGAAATAGATGGTTTACCGAACTTAAAAATGGTGATTTTCCATGGCAAACTGTTAAATAACCAGATGGTATGTTTGTTTTTTCCGCTGGAAGTCGCAGTCATCACAAGCCCGAATTTACCTCGCGAAATCGCCAACTTGGCTGGGCTTTGTTGGCACCAGATGTGTTCGTTATTTGGCTAGCTATGGACTCCAACCTAAAAATCCATGGAAAAACTGTGGAAAATCCATGGAAAACCATGGAAAATTCCTAGCTATCAGCCAAAAAAGGAAGTCTATGGACAAATCCATCGGAAAAACCATATGGCAAATCCATCGGAAAAACCATATGGCAAATCCAGCAGAACGCAGCATTTTCCGCATCGCCTTGGCCCAGGTTGCTTCAGCAGCTTTGTTGGCTCCATCACCGCCACGGTGAATGCCTTGAGGAGTATCCAAGCCACAAAGTGACTATGACTTGATCATCTCATTCCATGGATCGTGGGGAAGCACATGGAAGCACCGAAAAAAACTGTTGCTGATGGACAATGGCCAGTTTTAAGTGGTTACTAAAATATTACTTAGCCACTACTGTAATAGACTATGTATATATATATATATATTTATAATTGGGTTCTAAGTAGCTTAGTGGTTGGAAATATCAAGGAGATCTACTGAATGTGAAGTTACGATCACCAGGGTTATTAGCCAGTAGAAATTCCTGCAGTAATTTAAGTTTTTCGAAGATTGGGATGGGACTTGTGGCGTTGGACTTCGTTTTGTGGACTTTTTTTTGCATGGATGTATATATACGCGCAACACCTGGTTTTGCCCAGGCTTTGCAATGTAGTGGGTTCCCATCCGCAATCAAATGTTGACGCGACCTGCATTCAATTGGGAAGCTCAACAAGGGTCTTAGGAACATATATATGGATATTATAAATATATATATATACTGCGCATATATATATATATATACATTACATACGTATATGTGTGAAATCCAATCCACGTTATACTTTACACTCAATTGGGAAGATCAACAGCGGCATTAAATTCCCACCTTCGTGAAACTTTATTTTCTGTTGCGAAGATCAACAAGGGTATTAGACATATGAATTCCCACCCCCTTTAAACCGTACATTCAGTTGGGAGGTCAACAAGGGATGATAATGAAGATGATGATGCTTCGTTGCCCGCTGACCGTCGTTGTTGCCATTCCGGGCAAAACCCAGGCATTTGACGTTTACACACACATATATATATATACACATGATATGGCTTACAATTCCTTTGTCAGATCCTGAGAATCTTGAAATTTGGGAATGTTCAAACTGTTTGATTGTGGGTTTAGTGAGCTGTCTCTTGGAAAGTTCAAGAAATTAAGAGTTGTACATGTTTATCGTTTTTTTTCTTTGGGGGGGATTATATTATATGACTTTCAAAAACATACAGTGAGAACACGTTCAACAATGTCTGTTGTAAAATCTATGTCGTGGAGATTAATCGTTGCGAATCAACCCCCTAGTGGATCCCACAGGTGTTTTTGTTGGTACCCAAAGAATGGGTCAATATTGGTGCCCCAAAAAATGGAGTTTCAATGGCAAAAATTGAGCAACATATGCGGTCCCAAGGTTGCTGCATTTTGACCCATCCCCATTGAGTCAGTGATTTGTTGTCTCAGCTGTTTTCTTCCGCAGATTTTTCTGGTGTTGAATCACACCCTTCAATGGATCCAAAAGGTGGATTTACTCCTGTTTGGCTGACTTCAACCATCATGAATCCACCATTCACGGGGCCATTAGCTGCTAAGAAAACCTGTGCCATTCTTCAATCGGATTTCAGAATCCCAGGATCAAACAGAACAACCAGGTGCTCTCCTTCTTTGCAGATCCTTGGCGTCCACGGGTCAGATTTCAGAAAATCCTGATGCATCCTGCAGACATCTGCAGACATATTGTTGGTCGGAGCTGCTCTTGTTTTTTGCCGACGATTTGGGTAACTGTTGGAAGATGCATTGCTTTGAATGACTAATTATACTTTAGATATTTTATATAGCTATTAAGAAAAATAAATGTGGTGATTTGAGCTGTTTGGCTTGATATTGGTTTCAGAATAGCTGTTGGTCTTTGAAGCTGACCTTTTGATTTGGTTTTTGTTGCAGGGGTACTTAGCTGGTTAGGCACGAAGATGGCTGACAGCTCTTCAGCTGATCGAGAAAGGATCTTTCCCAAACATGTAAATACTTGGAGTATGGCAACCTCCAAAGATGTAGAACACTAACGCTACCGCTATTTTAGTATAGGATCTGACTTGTCCTTTTTAAAGGATCGCTATCTGTTAAAACACGGGTCTCGGTGATGACATGTCATGTCAAAGGTAAAGTCACAATGCAAAGTCGCTGCTCAATCAGCGACTCATCAGGTATATAATCAATATAATCAATGGTTGGTGGTTTGGAACATTTTTTTCCATATATTGGGAATGTCATCATCCCAACTGTTACTCACTCTATCATTTTTCAGAGGGGTAGGGCTCAACCACCAACCAAATCCCCCGGTCGCTTTGTTTCAACATGTTTCCGATGACCCACCAAAAACCCCAAGGAACGGAGCGTCTCGCTGGATCTCTACCGAAAAGTCCAGGCGTTTTCCGTTGGTCAACCAGAAAGGTCCACTGGCGATTTTTCACGGAAAAACACCGTGGATTTAAGCACCAGAAAAAAGGCATTTAACGAGCAAAACTAGGGACTTAAATAGGATTTAATGGTCAAAAATAGGGATTTAAGTAAGAACACTGGTGGGATAACCATCTAAAAGTAAATATGACTAGAATAATGCGGATGATTAAGGGAACTAATGGATCCTATTACAAGGTGGTGCCCCAGTTAACTGAGAACTTAAACGACAGTGACATGGAGACAAATAAGGATGTTTCCATGTGCTGGGATGTTCTTGGAATGGATGAACATGGGAATTTAGCTAAGAAACATGGACATTGAATAGGCATGATTATGTTTTCACGACCTTCTACCATTGAGAAGGCTAGCAGGAACTGCAAAATGCCTGCCCGAGCAGATGAGATGGGCACTCAACAGCCGTAGCACATCCCATGGAGGCTTGCAAAACATTGGAAAATCATGGGCCGACATGATGGATTTTCCATTTCCATGTTGCCAGAGGGTATTTGGTGAAATCATGTGAAATCCATCTAGGCACAGAATGTCACACATACTTTCTTTGTGGCTTTCCCAGGTGTTGGATACTTGAATGTGCATCCTAAGATTCGTACATGGTTCATATGGCCCATATGGCAATGGTGTTCCCCAAGATAGATGGCTTAAGGCCCGTAGGACTTCACAGCTATCAAAAAAGTTGACCAGCTCCCACAAAAAGAACTGAGGTAGAACATGGTAGAACACACATGCAGCTGGGCCTTACCCCATTGATGCTGGGTTTTTGTCATGGTTTTCTAGCCACTTCCCACATACATCCAATCACATACTATGCAGGCTTCTCCCACCGAAAACCAGGCTGTAGTCATAGTTTTCATATAATTCATATTCCATATCCATCAGCGCATGCTAGTAAGTGGTTAATACCCATATTTCAATAGAATCAATATCATCATGTAGATGTGTGTTTTTCCCCACCTGCCAGGTGCCCTATGCACGCCTGGACCCGAACACCATGGCAGGGAGAATGCCAGAAAGAATGCCAGATAGAATGTCAGAGTATATGCCAGAAAAATGTCAGATAGACTGTATAAATATATGCCATATATACTTCCAGTGTCAGAAACTATGGCGGAATAGCTGTCAAGGTGAGGATTACTCGTAGTAAAGCAAATTAATTGATTATGTATATACTGTATAGTTTCAAATATACAAATAAATGTAACTGGTGGTTATCGCACTTATAACTGGCTCCCCCCATGGAAACCTCAGCCACCATGGCTGTGGCCACCGCACCCGTTCCGCAGTACGTGATCCGCACGGAGAAGCTGACGGACGACCCGGTGATGGAGCGCGATGTGGCGCTGTTGAAGCTGCTGCCCCAACGCTTCAGGAGCCATGAATTGCCAGCCACGGAGGAACACACGGAGGAACACACAAAAAAAGGCAGTCTTTGTAGAGTCTTAATGGTATCTCCAATAAGAATTGATCCCCTTCCTGGGGTCATTATTGGGTACTAGTATGCTCCTTAAATTGGGATGGCTTATCATCAAAAGGAGCCCCAGTTGATGATACCGTTGGATTTGATGATAAACCATCCCAAGGATACCATCATTAAAGGTTAAACCTTCCCATGATACCATTGGAATGATATCATCATTAAACGGTTGATACTTGGGGATGCTTCACCATTGGATCTGCCGCAAGATTCTTCATGACATCGTGGCATGATCCCGGTCGCTGTTGTCAGGAAGCAACTGCACGAAGAGTCTTGGGAGCGCAGCGCGTTGGGACGTTGGGACTACGCCCAACCGTAAATTACTTGTAAATTGGCGCCTCCCAATCAAAAAAAGAATGATCAGGATGGTATCTAGTAACTCTAGTATATATATATATGTGTGTGTGTGCAGATATCTAGGTGATGGATTGGTATGGATTGTCCAGCTTCCAAGCTTCTCAGTCGCCCAAGGGCGGGCCCCTGAGATTTTTTTTTATCATGGGAATTCCACCCCTTGTCGGTGATCTTCCAACGTTACGTTTGGGTTTCTGGAGATGGCCGGGATCTTGACCACCAGCCACCAGGCCACCGGTTGGGGGGTTGGATCTTCATTCAGGACCCCAGATCTGGTTGAATCTTGTTGGGAGGCTAGTTCTGAGCACCAAGAAAGCAATCAGTTTCATATATAGTAACATATAGTAACATATAGTAACCACCAAAAAAGATAGAAACATAGTTCATGACGATGGCTTTATGGGATGTTGCTTTTCTATCCTGGGGGATGGCTATACGACAAATTGGATGTTTATTTTCGGGGGGAACCCCATAGGTTTAGGACGGCTGAGCCTTAACACTGGCGCACGACAACCAGGCTGGGAGTGAGTGACCCAAGAATAGCGATGTCTATTGATGGAACTGTATCGCCCATCCCCTTTCTTGTGAGTCCCACTCTTGGTTTTCAAGTGGTCAATTCCATGACCAACATCATGTTGTGTATGGTACCCTCTGGTAATCATTGGTAGTCAAACCCATGGAAAAAATGCCAGTTCTGTCAGCCGATGATTTTCCAACAAACCGAACCTATCGCTAGCCATGGTTCCTGGACCGGATTTGATCGATGTGATCTTCCCATTTGCCAAGATTCGCCAAGGAGATGTACCTGGGAATCCTGATGAACCTCAAGTTCTGGCCAAGTGGTGTTAAAACACGCGAGGGCATTTTCTTGACGGAGGTGCCAATTGGGCCAGATCGGGCCACTGTTGATGGAGATGCAAATTTTGTGGTTAGATGCAACTTTTGAGTACTTTTGAAGCCATGGAAACTTTAATTTGCACAAGCCGAAACATATTACATGCGTTTTTTTTGAGGTACTTGGAGGGTCTATGCATCTATTGAAAGATGTAGAAGATGCAAAATGCACTGCCATCCCCCATGAAACACACACACAAGGTTTTTTGAAATTACAATGCGAAACTGTGCAAAAAGATGCGACAGGAAATAAATCAGAGGATCCAGCTTGAATGTAATTGTTTCATATACCCACTGGAAATCAAACATGGCAGTGGAAAGTGGAAAATCCCTCAGTTGTAGTTGTAGATGATTTTCCCAGTATCATCTCCATTTATAAGATTTATATAAAGGATTTCCAATTGCCATGTTTGATTTCCAGTGGGTATATCATATCCCATTAAACCTCTATTACTCTAGAAAGAATGCCTGTGATAGAATTTATAGAATCAACCATAGGAATATAATAGAAGTTCTATATATCCATACAAATTGTTGATAGAATAATATAAAATAGAATTGTTATAAATATGTTATGATATGTCCATACATTTCTATGGTATATCCTAATGATATGTCTACAACGTCTTTATAGAATTTCTTGGCGAGCCAAAGTCAAAGCCTCCAGAAAGATGACGGCATAATTTGTTTTTCCACCATTTCCATATTTTCTCCCAAGATTTTGGAAAAAATCACAGTTTTCCGTCCCACAGTTTCTCTAAGGTGTGCCACCTGGCCATGGAAGAGGAAGTGGTGCGGAAGTTTCAGGATGTCTTCTTGCCAGGCGCTTCTTACAAAACGACCCAAACAGCCACGTTTCGGGGTGGATCTTGGTGCGATGTAGAAAGGTTTGCACCAATCGAAATCAATGGAACAAGGACTGGCAAATTGCACCAAACTTTGGATGATTCCTTTGGTGAATTTGGACTGGAAGGGTCATTTAGTTGATTACAGCCTGCATGACTGTGCAATGTTTGGGGGCTGTGCACGAGTTTGGGAAAATACCTCATTGTTGTTGAGACTTATGTCCACTTTGCATTTGCCTCCAACAAGTGAGACCGTGCTTCAAAGAAAAAGGGTTTGGTTTTTGCAATGCAGCCCCGTGAACTTGAAGCAGAATGATGGGTGATTGGTGAAATCCCTTCCCCCTTAATGCTCTAATGTTATTTTTCCCCAAATCGAAACCATGGTTTGGTACTGTTTACTGGATTTGTGCATGAATTGTGGGGCCAGTCATGATATCTAATGATATTGGCTACATACCCCCGTATTAAACCATGGTATACAAGTGTTGGATTCCCATTCTTGTCTATGGAGGGTGACATTCCTCATAGGGACACTCGTGGAACATTCCTTTTCATTCATTTTAATTCCGAATAATTCAATTTCATTTCAAACATATAATTAGTTATCATTGTTCTGTATTGTTTATTTGATTGTTTTGTGTTTTGGCCTTTGTTTGGAGTTGTTTTTTGCAATGTTTTGGATTTGTTTGATTTGTTTGGAATGTGTTGTTTTTCTTTTTTTGTTTTTGTTTTTTGATTTTTTGGATTGGTTGTTTTGTTTTTTCACAAATGGATAGTTTTTCAGTTTTTTTGATAGGAGTAGCCCCTGTTAGGAGTAAGCAAGGTGTTTTTAATGACCAATTTTTCATGGGAATCTCCAGTGATGGGTTCTCATCCCCCATTGAGGGATGAGATGCTGAGCTTCCCCCCCTCATGGCTTTTACTGCTTGTCATTATACATTATATTTCTATATATTTCTATGATGCAATATATATATATATATACGATATATATATATATATATGATATATATATATATATATGATATATATATATATATCCATTAGACCCTACTAAGGTTTGATATGTGTTGATTCCTTCGCTTTACCGTTGTTTTCCGTTTTCTTGTTCTCCTTGGATTCGGTTCCACTGAACCTTTGTTTGTGAACGCTTCGAGCTGGGGAAGCTTATCAAAACGGGACCGTGTTTGGAGTGGTAATAGAAAATCCCCGAACTCACAAAGGTTGGTGCTTGTTCTCCACAGAAGCGAGGTATCATTTGCCAAACAAATGGCAAAATAAACAGACCAGCAGTGGCAGCTCATCTACCTTCAGATCAGCTCCGGAAAGTCTGTGATTTGTGGGGTTTTCTCATCTTGAGAACATCACAGCAAGTCTCCACTTGTTTGGCCAAGACGCCCTGTTTGTGGAGCCTATGAGGTAGGACTTTGGGCGTGCGACTTGGGATTCCACGTGGATGGGACCACGACTGCGAGGACCAAACAGATGAACTAAAGGAGCGTCCTCAATTTTGAAAAAAACTTGGAACTAAACGGGGAATTTTCCAACAAACCACGTTTGATGACACCATACCGGATAATCTTGGTTGGGTTTGATTTGTTCTAGCTGTAGGCATGCCTCTCCTCTCATCAGGATACGGGGATGTGTCCGACCTCTAGAATCCAAAATAACTGTTGGAAAGCTACAAGCCCGACACCCCATCTATGGAAAGTGGGTTTAAAAATAGGTACCCCATAATTTCATGAAGATCCCATTGATCAAGTTTTTGTGTCTTAGAGATTGTTCAAATGATCATTTTTTGGCTCATCCAACCCATGTTTCGAACCAAAGATCTCCGAAACTCAGATGTTTGGACAACCGTGGCAGGCACCGAGTGTCAGCACGCATACCTCATTGAACAAGGTCTCGGGTCGCGGCTGGGGTTTCCATGTCCTGAGCGATGAGGGAATGGGATGGTTCATTCCCCCGTTCCCTACTTTATTTTTTCGCACCAGTAAGAGAGTAGTTCCAGCACTTCTATCAACTTCTATTATGTTTTTTGGTGATACCAGATTTCTGACCAGTTTTTCGCCTGGGTCAATCACTTCCAGACTTCCAGGATCATCCATGTGCTATACTTGCGGCCCCTTGCAGGATCTGACAGTCTCTGACGCTTGGGCCATGTCCATTTGACAAGATGAATGTTTCACAACATTGCCGTGCCTCCCAAAGCGTTGGTTACTGGATATACCCCCGAGATTATGCCTAGACTCCTAGACCCACTGCTTGGTTCCTTATATTGATTATTGGCCTTGCCACATGAACCACTACAGTTAGCTGGCAGCTCAATGCCGCCCAATTTTTGTTTAGCTTCCGGAAGCTAATAACACCCTGAAAAAAGATCAGAAAAGTGGGATGAAGCTCCACTCCTTTATTTGGAAGACAGCACTGAGGATGACGATTCCTTGTGTCTCATCTCTCTCTGGGCTGAGTGGCAACACCACGGGCGACTCGCATCCAAACTTGGCACCAGCCGCTATGCGTCTCGGAACTCGATGCATCCGATGCACTCCGGGAGGATCTCGGAACTCGTCTAGGGATGTGGCTGCACATTAAATCACATTACCATCTGGTTATGACTAACATAGCCATGGAAAATCACAATTTTTAATAGGTAAACCATCTATAAATGGGCCATTTTCCATGGCTATGTTAAACAACCAGATGGTAATCTTCACTGGGAAATGATGTGTGCTTTTTTGTTTGCCATTATAAAATACTATAATTATACTATAATTCCTAAATGGATATAACAAAATGGTCTAAATCAGGTTAATGATTCATATTATTCCAGATCCACGTTTACCAAGGTTTCATCGTTTTTCTTTGCTCTTTTGGGGGTCATGTGATATACCCAGCATCAAGAAATTCATTGATATTCTTCAGTCGTTTCTGTTTTCATTCAATGGAGAATATACTATACTGATCTATACTGAGGATACTTAGTTTGAAACAAGTACTGGGCATCGAAAATCTAAGATTTGCGCCACATTTGCATGTGCATCCCTTTTTTGTTTGTAAACTACTCATGAGTGAAGTTTCCGGCCCTATCCTGCAGAAAACGAAGCTGTGGAAACCCACCACTCTTAAGAACGGTAAAGCAGTGGTGGGACTGCTTCTGCGCATCCTGCTGTAGATTATTGGGATTGGGGATAATCCATATTCATATGTATGTATAACTGGGTTACTATCTTGTTGTAATCCACAAAATAAGCTGCAATGAGCCCCCACATAGATCTGAATTGTGAACTTGACGCTTTCTGATTGTTCCACGAAGATTGAGAAGATGTTTATCCGGTTTTATCAAATGGACTACCATATGAAAAGGTATCTAGTGGGATCGCAGGTGGTTCATGAACGTGAGCGTGTCTACACAATTATTGTTTGTCTTGAGGAGTTGATGATAACTTTAATATTGGCAGCCAAATGTCCAGCGGAACGATATTCATGGGTACTCAATCTTTGCCATGTTTTCTTTGTAATTAAAACATATGGGTAAACTAGACATCATCAATAGTCAACCAAATCTGTTGCTCCAACATTTTTGTACCTGTGCCACCCATCACATGGGCACTTCACCCAAGATCAGTTTGGGAGTAGATGTTGGGCTCCGCAAGAAAGGTTTATGCAATTATGCCCTATGACCGGCATGATGTAAAACGATCTCAAAATGTTTTGTTAATGGGACGGTTACTGGTTTACTATTGGGTTTGCCACATTAAGCCCTTCCCCCATAGTACCAAACGCTCCCCCATAAACCTTGGCTTAGTAAGGGATCTACACTTATGTGGAACCATCTAGGGTGTGTTTAGTAGCAAGGGGAACGGGATAAACTTGATAACTTCAGGCCTACGAAGTATTTCTTCATCGATTTTCCCATGTTTAAATCCTGGATTTTCCCAATCTCAGGTCACTTTGGACAGTGAGAAGTTCGCCGATCTCGCATTGCGTTGGGTCCGGGGAACCCAGGACTGTCTAGACTACTCCAAGAATGGGATGACCGTATGATTTTTCCGTACGCCAAGCTGGTGATTATGGAATATTATAGAGGTATTACCGTGTAATCGGTAGATGATGCCTGGTAATTTGATATGCAACCCTGAGCTGGTTACTATTTATAATATTGTTTAATGATGTATGCCCGTATCGCAAGTTACTATAAATGAAATGATGCCCGAAACAGGCGAATGGTACTTCCACGGCCACGTGACCTTTTTTTTTGGGTGAGCAAGTGGCAATGTCAGGGGAGAAGTTACATAACCAAAGTATACAAAGCGAAGGGTATAATCTATGTATGTTCAAGAAGTGTGTGCCCTTTGGGAGTCCTTTTCTGGTCATGGAAAATCCATGTGTTTCCCATTCTTGCACGGAGTCTTGTTGCCAGGTTGGACAAGCCCCATAAGAATAGGAATGATTTACATGATGAAAGAATCCTGGGCACATGGATCGGGACTGGAGGTCGCGCCTTGACCCTCCGAATCCGCAGTGGGGACGTAGGTGAACATCTGAAATCTCGAATGAGCATAAATATAACTATATATATATTATATAAGAATATGAGAATATATAAGATAGATGATAGATATGAAGAAGAAATAAGAAGAATAGAAGATTCAAATTCATTCGGATCCGAGGGTTTCAGTCTCCTTCAGAGAATCTGAGGAATCTGAAGAAAAATGAGAAACCGAGACACCCCCTTTCATCATACAGCATAGCGTGGGGCTTCAACATGCTTCAACCACCCTATGTCTCTTTGGTGCTTACCCTCTGGTAATTTAACATAACTATGGAAAATCACCATTGTTCATTGGAAAATCAATTATAAATGGTTTTCAATAGCTTTTTGTATGTTTACCAGAGGGTAATCTTCAACTTCCCCATGTTTTGCAGAAAATCCCACTGCCAGTGGCCTCCAGGCGGGACCCTTCTACCGCTACTTGCAGATCTTTGGCGTCTTGCTCACTGGAGCTGTGGAGAATCGTTCCCAGGAGCTGAGTCGAAATTGGGATCTGGGACAGCTTTTCAGCCCAGCAAATCATGGGGAAATTATGGGGAATAGATTGAATAGATACGATTTGTTGATTCTTGTTGCTTCAGTAGAAATCCTAGACGAGACAGGCAGATCAGGCAGATAGCAAGAGAAGGAGATGTGCGTATATGTAGAATTATGTAGAGAGGATGCCGGTATAATCCGGTATGTACAATCCGCAAGCATCGGGATTGAAAGCCTACTTACCGCAGGCAACAACTAATCAAGAATCGGTGAGGTCAGATATGTTCAGAACTCTCGGAGAGGGCAATAGAGAGAGAGAGAGAGAAAGAAATTCAAAGAATACTGCATGCATTCTTAGACTAAACTTTCTGATTGCAACCGAAGCAAAGCTAAGACAATAAGCCCAGGTATTAAAAGCCAATGCGGCTTGCCAAGTATTCCTTGCAAATACATTAAACTACGAAAAAGTTTTTGAAAATGGGCCCATTTTAACAGGATCTCCCATCGCCATGCTTGATTACTTGACCGGAGGGTACTTGCATCATTTCCTTTGTGTGGTTTTTTTTCGGAGTATTTGTGGAAGGCGCAGTACCCTGATTCAAGGCTTAAGACTCGGTTGGCATTCTAGTGATTCTAGTTCGCGCATTTCTGGCCCAGCAAATTTTGAACTGTTGGAAAAGACAAATGGAAACATATAAATTCCTCAGCTTCAACGTTGAATGAAATTAGTGTACCCTCGCCACACATGGCATATCATGGCATCCTGGAAAATCCGCCATTTCTGAATCGAATTCCGAGCGAACTAAACCTGGCTATAGTTCGGTTTTTTTTCAGAAAAAATAAGACTCCGGAATCAAACTTAGATGAGTTTTCCCATTCAAAACTACAAAAAAAAACATGTTAAAACGTGTAAAAACCTCCATTCATTGCCGTCTTTTCTGGCCAATTTCACCGACCCGGGCGGCCCCTGGGCGCCGGGGCGCTGTCAACGATTTCTTGCAGGAGGTTGGAGATGATCTCACGGTAACGGATATGGCCTTGAACAAGGAGTGGGGGGTGAGGGGAGGCCCCAAGGATTGGAACATGTGATGTTTATTGATATTGATTGGTTTATGGTACAGGTATAAGATATTATAAGATATTATAAGATATTATAAGATGTTATAAGATTTTATAAGATATTATAAGATTTTATAAGACTTTATAAGATATTATAAGATGTTATAAGATATTATAAGATGAGATTACATGATATAACATGATATAAGTATAATTATTGATACTGATTGTTTTATGGAATCACGGTTGAAAGTCCTTTGCGGTTTGACGCCAGTTCCGACTGCAGAATCACTTCTGAAGATTTGGAGCAGCACTTTCACAACTCGTTCCACTCCTCTCTAAGTTGGTTTACAATGACATCTACTTGTATCATAATATGTGTAGGTCCATGTGATATGATACGCGTTTCTTACCTATATACATATATAATTATATATATATATACATAGAGGTATGTTTAGGCATCTACAATTAGGTGTGCATATATATATAGTTTTATATAATATATAGCTACGTTCGGCATACATATGTATATAGGTACATTAATATATATATATATAATGTAAATGTATCTGTATGTATACATAGGTATCTATAGGTATACGTATAGCACATATAAGGGGCCCGCGCTGGTGCTAAAAATGCACACCCTAGTGGTTATGCTTTTACAATGTCTTTCATGTTGTGGTAAAACATGGAGTGGTGGGGGGGCAATAACGTCCTGTCCGCCTATGTCCTGACGTGTGATGTTCACACACGCGCTACGTTAATCATGGGTGGTGGGGGGGCAATAACGTCCTGTCGGCCTCTTTCTGTACGTGCTACTGCATGTCTCATGTTAACATACACTACGTCAACATACTTCACCTCAACATACAGTACGCTCTCATGTCTTCCTTCTATGTTAACATACACTACGTTAACATACTTCACCTCAACATACAGTATGCTCTCATGTCTTCCTTCTATGTTAACATACACTACGTCAACACTCTTCACTACGTCCAAGTTGAACGGAACCCAGACGTTGGACAGGACATGGGATATTTGCAAACAGAGCATCCCTAGATCTTTGTCCAGTCGCAAAGGCGCCGTTTCGGGTATGTTGGACATCTATGTCCATGTCTGGTGGTGGAGACATCACCATGAAGGTAAGGACCTTCTGACACAGCTTGGCAAACTATGCTCTGCAAAAAATGCAGAGTGAAAAGAACTTCGCTGCAGGCTGGAATGAAAACGTGTGGTTGCACGAAACACCAAATTCACTGCTATTTGCAATAAATTCACACCATTGCAACTTTTTTTTTTGGTTCTCAACTTAAAAATTTGCATTTCGTGCTAGCGAAATGGCGCAGAAATCACGACCCTTACAGCACGAAAACGACATCGAATATTATATGTTCCAAATGGAAATGTGGAAAAATGAGAATTTTCAAAGATGAGATGGAAAAGAACATGATGAAGACGTTCAACCCCGCAGGCCTCTTACAGGCGCCGCCACCATGTTTGTACGTGCATGTTTGTTTTAAAAGAATGAATCCACATACTTATCATATCTTATCATCATATATGGGTTTGGCATAGTTCCATATGTGTTTCACCGATACAAAGCCCATCTCATCCGGATCCTAGGAGGAAGTGCTGGCACTGTCGTTGAGGGCTCAAAGCTTTGATAACATCCTGAGGAAGCACCACACTTATCATCACTCAGCCACTCAGCTGGAGAACAGATTTTGCCTTAGATTCTTGTTGTCACTCGGTGGTTTCACAGGATAAACCGGGAAACCAGGATTTTGACCATTATATAATTCTTGGCGCTTCATTGGTGCATGCTTAATTGAAAACTAAGTCCAAGAACTGGGAAGAAAATCGTGATAGTTTCTGAAAAAATAGGTGCCCTCTGGGTATGACTAACATAGCCATGGTATAGATGGCCCGTAAAAAAAAATACCGTTCTTACAAATGTTGGATCTTTCCATGGCTATGTTAGTCATAACCAGAGGGGTTGGCTCTGCTGGGATGCTTCGAGTTTAAGCGCATCATTGGCTAGATATCGTATCCTCACAACCAAGGCAGTGGCCTTTTTCTAAAGCAACACATATCGGTCATTCCGGGATTTGCAGGGAAGTACTTCAAGTGTTTCAATCTGGTTTTCATGATCGAAGCTCGCAAATAGCCAGTATCAACCAGCTGAAGCCTTCAGATAATCCCTGCAACTGGTACATCCACCCAAAAAAAGGCGTCAATCAGCAGCTGCAGTCGCAAAAATGATATCTAATCTATCTATGTCTCTAATCCAAAATCTAATCCAGACTAAATCCAATCTAATCCACCTCCGGATATGGTTTTCCAACTGAAATATCCAAGCACCCCTACCTGCAACCAATTCAACTTTGCACGGCGCTGAGGAAGTTGCAGAAACGTCAGCCACTCGGCGCACCGAATATGTATAGTAACCACCAAAAATGTAGGTTAAGTGGCAATTTTTCAGTATTATGTTGTAGACACTAACTTAATACTTAATATGTGCATGTATATTGCACACTTGTCAATATTTAAGTCTAAGTCAAGGGTTTGATGAGTTTTCCTGTTTTTTCTTGCGGTGGGCCCATTTTGGGACGTGATGTTCTGCATTTCATCGGTTCAGGCGGGCTTCAGTGGAACCTTTGTGCGGCTGCGCTCAAGCATCGCAAAGGTCGGCAACCAGAGTGGTTCTTGTGTTTTGGTCGTAACTATGACCCATCATTGCTGTTGTTGCTGTTGCTGCTGCTGTTGCTGTTGCTGCTGCTGTTTTCTTTTTGGTGAGTAGGAGCCATATCATTTAAGGTGTGAGCCATACGATGGTTTTTCTTGTTAATGCCCTTGCAAGCTTCAGTTTCCAATTTAGAATTAGCGCACCTCGTCACCTGAGGATGCTATTTCCAAGGATTTAATGCCAATGCTGTGGTGATGTGGTTTGAACATGTTTGAAGCCTGGTCACATACAGTCAGAAGGAACTGGATCCCTGAAATCAATACCTGTATATACCCTCTGGTTATGACTAACATAGCCGTGGAAAATCACTATCTTTAAGAACGGTAAACCATCTATTTCTATGGACCATTTTCCATGGCTATGTTAGTCATAACCAGAGGGTAACTATAGGTTTGGCCCTTTTCCAAAATGAGCCATCCATCATCCCATTTTGGGGTCAGGGGTGAGTTCCCTTGCACTGATGCATCCACGTCCCGTTGAAATGGTAGGACTGAGGTAAAATATGATACATGACCAATGTGATGCCTTTTCATGGAACTTGGATGTTTTTTGGGACGTGTCCGTGTCCTTTCAGAAAACTTGTTTTTTCCCGCAATTTCTGGTTTTCTGGACGTTGTCTCCTGACTAGGCAGCGCCAAGGGGTATTCGATAAACTGAGCTCCGGCAGATCTGTCGTGACTACGTGGGTGTCAGCTGTACTTCCAGCAGCGATGCAGGTGCGTTTTCCCCAGGAAAAGGGTCTTTACCTGCAGTTGCGATCGACTACAGCCCGAAAATCAAGGATGGCCATGTAGATTAATATGCTAGATTAATGTTAGATTGCTGTAGTTTTTTATGATTGTTTTATGTTTCTTTCAAGGAGGCAACACATGTTTTTTGATCAGGTTCCTGTGATATTTGCTCCCCTTCAAACCCTGAACATACAAGTGCAAAAAGATTGCATACTGTTTGGCCTAGGATCACGACCCCTTTGCAAAACTGTCATGGTTCAGAGTTCCGGCCACCCGACCGAATTTGATTCATTGATATTGTTTGGGTTTAAGGCCTTGTGGGTTGCGACCCATACAGGAAGGGGCCCCATAGGTAAGTTGGTTTATAGACAGGCAAATGCTTGGAGTTATGGAGGATATATCGCTCGATGAGGTTGGAATCAACTTATAACCGGGGGGCCCTTCCTGTCGCCAGCTCACATTAACTTTCTCTTACCAATCTGCCCAGCAGAGCCAGCGCGACCCCACAGAGTGGGACATCACTACCATAACTTCAGCCACTCCTCAGGTGGCACGCGGTTTCAAAATGAAACGTTCGAAGCATTCCATGCATTATACTCTTTATAATCTCATAAATGAATATATATATATAAATATACATATAACTTATCAAATATATATATATATACCATATATATATTATATAGCTATGTGTGTGTGAATGTATTATTTGAATACGATACTGCATATTCAAACACATAATCTGCATTTGCACATGCATATCAATACATGCACAAATATACATATATACATATTACAATGTTACATGTAATATTCACATTCATAGTTACATATTCAGATTCATGACATCCGCCTTCTAGATATTGGATGATATTGGTAGGTTCTCCGCCTTAGGGGTCGATGATGTGTTGTTGTATTCTCGGTGATTTGTTTAGTATTAGTCAGTACTAGTCCTTTTCGTGCAGTTATTCCTTCTCCTGTTCCATTTGTTGAGCAAACCATGTCATGCTTACGAGTTTCCAAGTGGGATGACCAGAGGTAGATTTTACCAGAGGCGCTTGCCATGCACATGCAGATAGCAAGGTTGTTTGCACCTTACTGAAAGAGATTGTTGTTCCCTCCCTGGCACTCCTCAATGGTGGTTGTTTTCCCACTTCTCCCCTTGTCGTTTATCATGATCATCATGAACGCGATGGTTCGAAAAAGGTTGAGATTTTGACATCGTGGGCTGGTCCCAAGTGACTCATTTCTGCGATAACATTAACATCGAAACAATAGGTAGGAGCGCAACAAAAGTGGCTGTTTCACTGGTCGGCCGCAAGCCTAAACGAACTGCAGTAAGGGTGGACAAAAATTGCGAAGCAGCAATTCAAGCAGACTTGGGACTTGTAACCCAATCGCCCTAAGGTGGAACACCCCCATTTTATGGTCCCAAATATGTGATTTCATCCTCTAGTTTTTACATCTACCATGGCTAATGGGCACTGGAAGCATTCACAAGTTAGAGTTTCGCTGGGCCACGCTGATTTGAATGGGGCGTTCTGGAGCGCTTATGACTAAGGGAAGTAGTGCATACCCTTTGGGTCCCTTTGACAATCAAATATGGCTGGTTGGGAAATCCCCTATAGAAATGGATGTTTTTATAGCAAAAATCATTGAACTAGATGGTGATGTCCCCTTGCCATATTTGATTGCCGGATTGTTTAAGAAAAAAAAGTGTTGAGATGCGCATGAGCACTGATTGAAACATTCCACCCGACTTGTTCCAATAAATATGTGTTGGATGATATAAAAATGGGTATAAAATCTGTGAGCAGTTTCCTTGAAACACGTGATTGTGGGTCAAAACAAATTGGTGCCATTTTGGAGAAGGTTACCAGGATTTTCCAACCATTTTCATAGATAATCATGGTTCATTGATGTTCATTGGGGTAGGTTTTGCCCAAAAAAAACATGGAAAAAGACGGCCTGGTGTCTCTTCAGTGTGGCTCTCAGGATTGGCTATAGATCTTTTCATATGGAATAATAATAACAATAACAATAATAATATATAGATATACACCTTGGAAGTTTTTGTGACAGACTGACGCCATCCAGCCCAGAAAAGCGACATGTTGAAACATGTCCTCCCAGCCCGACTCTGGACGAACGACACAAGCAGCAAGCCGCAGCAAGCCGAAGAGATCAACCCAAGTCGTTCGACTGGATCTCAGTCTCTCAAAGTACAGAGGGAGAAATTCACTTGAAAAAATCACTCCTGTTGCGACCTGGACAAGTTATCCGCCATGTGTGCGCCTCAGGGATTGCCATGTGTTGGGGGTCCAGGCAGGCGATTCTAGCAGCTTCAGAAGCCCCAGAAGGATCCGGAAGGCTCAATCCCCACGCGAAAACTGCTCAATATAGGCCAGAAATATGAACATCGAAAATTAATTCATCCCATATTTCTGGCGACTTTAAAAATACAATACATATCAATACCTTTCATCCCTATTTTAGTACTCAAGATTCCATCCCACGTGCCCATGCTCAGGTCGCTGGATCAAGGCCGGGAGAAGCGACCCTCATGGTGAATTTCCCACATGGAGGGATTAATGAATTCTGGTCATAATGTAAGACCATGTAAGACAATGTCCATATAGACGTTTGTGTAAAAAATTATGTTAATGTTGAAACAATGTTAAAATAGAATAGCCGGAGAAGCGTTAGACATATTTCGGGATTCCTGACGTTAATGGTGAAAACAGAATCTATTCCTTTTAGGGGACTGTTAAAAATTAAAATAAACATAAGGAAGAGCCCATGGACCATGTTCTAGCCATGGCCCATGACGATAATTACAATAACTAGTATGGTTACGGTTTGCCATGGTTTAATCATCCTGGAACCAAGTTTGATATGGGACATCATTGATATTTAACAGCCATATCATGGGATTTAACAATTAATCGGATGTATTTGGAGGTATTTGGGGGATAGCTTTTGGCAACTTGTCACTGTTCCTTTGGTATAGATGGCCCATTTCATTCGAGGATTTACCCCTTTAACATGGCGATCTGCCAGGAAATGATCTACAAAGATGCTGTTTTGCAATGGCTATGTTCAATATTGTGAAATTACCAATGCATGGTAATGGTTGAACTCCTGCAAATCAACATTGACATGGAAGACCTGCTGTTTGTAGGTCACTTTCTTTAGGAAGCCAACAGCAGGGTTTTCCTCATGTTTTCCTCATGTTTGCTGTATGTTCTTGTTGCTTCGTTTCCTAAAGAAACCAACTGGTTGGTGGTTTCAAACATTTTCATTTTTCCATATATTGGGAATAGTAACCCCAACTGACTTTCATATTTTTCAGAGGGGTTAAAACCACCAACCAGCCAAATCTTGCGGGCATTGTGGGAATCTTGCGGATTGAAACCACAGATCAGTGTGGGATCTCATTGGATCCTAGTTTCCTGGAAAGTCGGATGGTTTCGGCAGAACCACATGCTTGGGTTTAGTATGGTTTACTCATATATCCATGAATTGTCATTCCTCATGTGCTTAAGTGTTTACCCAATAGAAGCACATGATAATCATACAATTAGATATGATTATATACCACCTTTCTTCAATAGCCGTGGTTCGAGGACCCCCGTCTTGGACCAATTCCGCGGTGCATCTAGGATCGTTCGAGTATGTCAATGAGCCATTGGATTGGTCGAAGGGCAATTTTGCAGGGAATTCCTGACTGTAGTTTTGGCAATTTCCACTATTTCTTTTTCCTGTTAGCAATTTGTTGAATCAGATTTTAGGGATGAACAAACTCAAATTGCTGGTGATATTTCCATGATATTCCTAGTATATCTCCCTGTATGGTTGGTTTTCACAAAAAAAATATAATATAGATATCATTCCCTGTATGGTTGATCATTCCATGATATGCCCTGTATATCTTGGTTGGTGGTTTGGAACATTTTTCCCCACCTGCCAGGTGAGGGTTGTTAGATTTTATGTCAGTTGCCTGCTCCTCCTCTCCTCCTCTCCTCCTCATCTCCTCCTCCTCTCCTCCTCCTCCTCCTCGTCGTCCTCCTCCTCGTCGTCCTCCTCGTCGTCCTCCTCGTCCTCCTCGTCCAACTGCGACCCGCGATCCACAGTGTTCTCTGTCGGACCTCAACCACGACCATCCATGCTCAGTGTTCCCTGCCGGACCTCAACCACGACCATCCGCGCTCAGTGTGCCCTGCCGGACCTCAACCACGACCATCCCCACCCAGTGTTCCCTGCCGGACCTCAACCGCGAGTATCCCCGCCCAGTGTTCGCTGCCGGACCTCAACCACGACCATCCACGCCCAGTGTTCCCTGCCGGACCTCAACCGCGAGTATCCATGCCAAGTGTTCCCTGCCGGACCTCATGTAGGAAGATATGGGACAAAGAGTGTGCAGAAGATTTGCCAGATAGAATGCCAGAATATTTGCCAAATAGGATGTCAGAAGATATGCCAGAAGATATGCCAGATAGAATGCCAGAACATATGCCAGAAAATATGCCAGATAGGATGTCAGAAGATATGCCAGAAGATATGCCAGATAGAATGCCAGATAGAATGCCAGAAAGAATGCCAGAAGATATGCCAGAACATATGCCAGAAAATATGCCAGGTAGAATGCCAGAAGGTATGCCAGATAGAATGCCAGAAGATATGTCAGATAGAATGCCAGAAGATTTGTCAGTAACAAATCGATAAATGTCATGGTGGGGATCACACGAAGTAAAGTAATTTATTTTCCATTTCATATATGGGATGTCATCCTTCCCATTGAGGGACTCCATCATTTTTCAGAGGGGTAGGCTCAACCACCAACCAGCTATATATATATGATATATATCACCTATAAACCATATTCCCAGTATATCATATTTTGGGATGATGCCCACAGTATCATCCCAACAAAAATCTCTGTCGTTTCCACCGTCCCAAAACGTGTCACAGTCCGGCGTGTGGCTCCCGAGCTCCCCAGCGGCGTCAAGAAGCAGGCGCCCAAAGGGCGGGCGCTTTGTCGTCAGCCGATGTCGGTGTCAGTAAACCAAGGCCCCAGCCATAAAATTGATGGTGGTTTATATTGATTTAATGGGATTTTATAGTGATTCAATGGGATTTGATAGTGATTCAATGGGATTTATAGTGATAGTGATTCGATGGGATATTAATGGTTTATACCCTCTGGTAAACATACAAAAAGCTATTAAACATGGCCAAAGAAATAGTTGTTTTTCCCATTAATAGCATGGTGATTTTCCATAACTATGTTAGTTTACCAGAGGGTAACACCTGTGGAATCCATATGTTATAAACCATCATCAAGCCCATATGTTAGTAATCATCTTAGTGATTTCATATGGATTGATGACGGTTTATACCACCCATAAAAGTTGTAAACTTAGGGATGGTGGAGCCCATTGCTTTACAGTACTGTAGAAAATCTGTCTGCTGGTTTCAACCACAGGATTTTTTGTGCTTTGATGTGGATTAAGCAGTCAAAAATTGGGAAGCAATGTGGGGATCACAAGGGATATTGATGGTACTTTCTGGTGCTGTAATGGTGAAACGATGGGGATATAGTGGGTAATATGTGTTCAGAATATGAGTGGGGATATGTGATATTACCAACAGTGGGATATCATGAAAAAGGGTGAGTTAACCAACAAACATGACGATTTTTCATTGTGCTTCTATATGGGATTTCATATTGGAAAAGGGGTGGGTGCCCTCTGGTGGTTTCGACCCCTCTGAAGAATATCGTTGGGAAGTGATGGGCTTTAACCAGCCAAAAAATGGGAAGTAATGGGGATCGGGATATTATGATAGCTTTATGATAGTTTTTTGTAAGCTGACATAGCCATTGAAAAGGCCTTCACATGAAAGACAATTGAACTATATAGTTTTGCCATCAAACATGCGGATTTTGATTGATCTAATCACCTGGTAAATCGTCTATATAATTCATTAACTAGGGTTTTAAACATTGGAGGTATTAAAATGTATGGTTTTACTGTAATCTATACTACATTACATTACCCTATTAGGTGAATGGTATTAGTTGCTGCCTGGTCTGATCGGCTGTTCGATCACCTCGCGACCGGGCGAATGGCCGCTTTTGAAAACGGGAGCATGGCCCTCTTCTATCCATGCTATAGGCCTTGAAACCAGACTTGTATTCTTTACATTAGGTTGTACGATGTTATTCATTGAAATCCCTTCCACCTTTAAAGCAAACACCCCCAAACAATGCCCCAGTGAAATGTACTAAAACTTGGAATTGGGAGCCCTTCTTTGCACGGCTCATTGATGAAGTGTACACAATTCTAACAGTACACAATTTTGGGATCTCCAATATGAGGTCGGGTTAGTTCAAGACTCTGTGCGTTGGTTTCGAATATTTATATGTGTGTGTGTATGTTATATGGGAATCCTGTTCGTCAGAACCTGGCCATGTGATGTCGGATTCACAATCAAATTGTAGAGTATCTGTGTTTTTGCCGCAAAAGAGCGAACATGTATTAATAGGCGTTTAAACATGATGAATTGTACATGTTCCATCTTTGTGGTTGAATCCGCAGACGGCCACGTATCCCAAAACGGACGGAAAAATCACGTTTGAACCCCCATGACATGGTCTCTCGCACTGAATCCCCTTAACTAATCCCAATCTCAACGGATCCATGGGTTTTTATTGCTGTGGTTTACATAATTTCCAAGATTGATTTACTGTTTAGATCTCCAGTTTCGGAATCGAGGATCCCACATTTTTTCCTGTCCTTGGCCGTACTTTTCAGGTGCTCCGGGAGGCACCTAAGGAGAATTGGAGACATCCAGTACCAGGCGACAAGGCGTGGCGATGGAAAAGCAATGGGAGAAGTTGTATGGCGGCACCCATAACAAGGCGAAAGATGGGGTTTGAAATGGGGCTTAAGTAGTGAAGAATCCATATATTATGTACTTTTGATGTTGGGCATGGTTAAATTTATCAAAGCTTCGTAAAAACAACATGAATTCAAGAGGAGGATTTGGCATTAACGGAAGATAACGGAAGCATTTTCAGACGGTGGTGATTTCAGTAGGATTTAAGTGAGATACATCAGTTAGGGAGCTGGGACGGCCCGTTTGTTATGAAAACATATTATGGAAATACAGAAAGGATAGTTTAACCATCCCAAACATGGAATCCACCATCCACAGGGGGTCAACTGGGATAAGTGCGGATAACTTCCAGAAACCAAAGGTGGCTGGAAAATCCAAAAATTTTGTCAAAAAACGTGTCCGAAATAGGTTGCAATTAGATAACTGGAAGGGTCCCATGCAAAATATCGCGTATTCGACGGCTCAACCGCAGCTCGGCTTAAATTTACCAGCCGTCGGGGTTTGTTCGAGTGAGAGTCTAGGGATGGCCCTTTTTGGGGGCAAATGCCAAGTTTGAGGAGATCCCAGCGCTTTTGTAACAATCTGGGTGGTAAATACTGGGGAAACTATCAAGGTTATGGCTTGAGATTGGAGGGACTTACTGTGATGTTTCCAGAGATTGTTTTTTCTTGCATAACATGTTTGTTCATGGGAGTGCGGCAACCCCCAAGGAGATAAAAGATAGAAAAATAACAGCCTACGAAAATGGCGGCAAATTTCACCTTTTCTATCGTTTTGGTAGTGGCTTTATGGATACATGCAAGTGCAATCTACTGTCCCAAAATGTGAGGTATTCCTTTCGGAACAATGGCAAGTTTAACAACAGGCAAGGGACGATTTCTCAGCCGCGGCTTGCCTCTTTGATGCCGAAGATCACTTCTTGGCTCAGCATGGAGCACTGCGATGCCTTTTTTTTGCCTTTCTTGGGGGATGATGTGAATTAGGAGTGCCAACCCCATCCAAGTCAAGATTCAACTGGATGAGATTAAAGTAAAGACCATTTGTTTGAGCTGGATGGATGTGTTTATGACATCTGTTTTTCTTATCTTCGTTTAACCGAAATCCGACCAGCCTTGGCCTTTTCTTTGTTGGGTAGCCCAGCTGGACCCGGCGGCCACTGCTGTTGGCGGTACCAGATGTGGACCTCACACAGCCTGGAGATTCATGAATCCCAAGAGTGAAACGAAAGGCCATCATTTGCATCATTTGCACCCCGGTCTGTCTGAAAATGGGGGATATGGATGGTGAACATGATGATTTCACATGATTGGTTATAATCGCTAAACTCATTTTCCAGAAGATATGTCAAGATGTGTTTAAAGTCCCAGAATTTTCTCAAAGTTTGCAGGTCGGGGTTGATCCAGAGTCCATTTGGCAGACTTTCAACCGCGCCACGCCACAGGCTCTGAAGCTCTAAGAAGGGGCTGACAGCATGACATGAATTTGGACAATGGTTAAGTCATGTGAGAAACCGCCATGTCTACCCACCGTATTTGGGGATTATTGTTACTATCCATTTCAAATGTGATTTGGGGAATGATTTATTTTTTTGGGACCACATTTAAGTTACCACATGTTGCCACATTTGGATCCCAGCTTCTGGAATCCTTGGAGCCCCATGAAAAATGCTGGTCGTCAGGAAGACTGATCAACCGTAAGCCCCAAGCTTTGTGTTTGAAGAACAAACATATTTTAGGGAAAAATCATGAAAATTCACCTTCTTTGGGGAATCTATAAGTTGAAATCTTTGTGAATATTGAAGAAGGATTTCAACTACTATAGACTATAGATTTCTGTGAAATTTCCCTAAAGAATGTCAGAATTTCAGAGATCAGCCCTTGTTTTTTTCGACTTTTCGACACCCCCTTGGCAACTCGCACCGCAGCGACGACAGCGCTGGAGCCATGGCATCCTCCTCCGTGTCGATCAAGGCGGAGAATGGGCGCGTAGTCGGTCAGACGTAGTCATAGATTCCTTGAAGGGAAAATGTCGCCACCGGATTCCCAAGGGATTTTCTCCGGAATATTTTTTTTGGTGGGTTTTTGGGGCCATCTTTTTGTGGATTTCCAAGATGCCGGGAGATTCAACCATTAAACATGGCAGTGGGGATGTTATAGCAAGACGGGCCTGACCCTTGATGGGTGGTAGAATCAGGGGGATAGTCCGAAATGACCGAAGATTTCAGGTTTGTGAACTATTTTTTTCGGCCAGAAAATTGAGAGAGAGAGATATCACAAAATATCACACACATTCACAAACTATAGTTTTATATGCTGAAAACGGTGATAGTCAACCCATGCTTCTCTTCTCTTCGTGAATTTTAGGGTTTCAGCCTGGGTTTTTTCAGCCTTTCAGCAAGGACTCGGACTCGCCCAGCAAGGACATCGATGTCCTCTTGGAGCAGATGGAAGGCGAGCTTTTGGCGCAAACTGGTGGGAAAGCACCGTGGAAAATTGTGTTTTAAGGAGAAGAAATGGTGATCCAGTAGGTTACTAACCTTGTTTTATCTTCATTTTTCCAGTGACAGCAGACCTTGTTTTATCCTTTTGGCGGATCGGGATCATCCCAAAATGGGGCGTACACCAGATCTTACCAGGACCACTTAAAAGTCACGTGTTTTGCCCAATGGACACATCATGACACGTCACCCTTGAGTATATGTATGTCTAAGCCTGTCATTGCCAAACTTAGTCTCTCTACGTCTTCGAATTCCCCTTCTAGTAGCCGAAACCATATATGGCTTACAGTTTCAAAGTGAGGTCATGTTACATGTGATGTATATAAGAGCAATACATAGCAATACTAATGATGCTGTACCAGTTGCAACCTATCAATGGTTGGTTTGTTCCGTATCGAGGCTCCGCCGGCTCCGCTTCTAAGCGCCACTTCGCCAGGGCGTTTGGAGGCGATGTTGGCAAAGCACCAGACGATGCTGGAGAAAATTCTGCACCTTGGAAGCCGACCAGTGAGTCTGCTGAGATTGGATGCCATCCATTGCCCCAACTAACAGCCTTACTCTGCCAGGGGTTGTGGAGAAATAGGAGATGCCAATGGTTTGAGACCATGTTTCACATTATCATGTTACTCGTACGATATACAGCAGAATCAGGCTCGTTGTTTGGGTACAACTGATAAAACTATGTATGTATATATATATATATACACATATATATATATATACGTATATATATATATGGCAAATCATCACTGTGTGCTGGTTTTTGTTGATCACTAACATGTCAGGAAGAAATAATCTTGGTGTTTGGGTTTCTGCCCCGGTTGACTTTTCAAGACAGCCTGTTCTTTATCCAAGAAACATGTTTATGATTTGTTGATGTGGGGTACAGCCAATGATGTGGAATGTGTTTCAAGTTTGCTCGGAATACAGTCGCCAAATAAACACTTGACCGACAATACATGGGTCACATCCAAGAGTAGTGTTTTCCAACATTAGTTTCTACAGGTTAAGAACAGGCAAAGCCTAAGGGGTTTCAATTTGATGAGGGTGCAACATAATCTCTTTTTTGGGGTGCATGTAGGATTATAAGCGTATAATTGTTGAAATTTCGCAGCCCTTTCAACCCAAAGCCCCCCATGGTTTTGAAAGCATTCTCCCATTAGCAGGGCCATGAAATGGGGGAAAATGGCGGCTATTTTCACTCGCCCTTAGCTCAGCTGAACTCTTCGAGAAGGCGATGGAGAGAGAGACTTCAAGGGCTTATTCATCACCAAATTGCCAAAAGCATCCAAGAACCAGCAGTGAGGACTTGCTATAACCAGATTGGTTGAATCCACATGAACGCCCAGGGCCGCACTCGGGCAACGAACTGAAGCAAGCAGAGGAGCGAAAAGGGGCAGAGGAGATGGTCTCAAAATTCATTTGTTTAACTCTAGGTTTTTACCTTTTCGAGTCTTCTTGATGGAAAATCCTGATCAACCATGGAATGGAATGGGGTTCCCAAAAAAGACACCCAATACTTGCCCCGTTGAACCCTGGAAACTCGCGGGAAAACAACGTCTAAGTCTAGGGTACCTGGTTGCAGGCGGCCCTTGGAGGATCAGCCAGTGAGTCTCTAGACTTTGAAAATAGGCAACCCAAAAATGGCACCCAAAAAATGGAAACTGCTTTGTCATCAGTTTACTCTCCAAAATTTGAACATTTGGAGGGTATACCGGTATACCCCATTTTCAGGCACACTCAAAACTTGGGTTTATGGGGGATATACACATGATACTGTAAATAATGGGACGTCCAAACCAACAAGCAGTTTGCCTCCATATTTTTTGTAGCTTCGTAGCCAGGGTTCATGGATGAAACTACTCATGTAATCCCTTCCCCCTGATACTAAACCCCCCCTAAATAATAAACACCTCAGGTAGTTTTTATTATTAGGGTGGTATTTATTATTAGGAAACCCTATTAATAGATTTAAAACCGTAATAATAAAAACTATTTTTCCAATTTCAAAATCAATTAAATTTTATTTTATAACGCAGCAATAATGCAACTAGCCAAAAATTGGAATTCGAAGCGGACCCTATTAATAGATTTAAAACCTTAATAATAAAAACTATTTGTTCCGATTTCAAAATCAATTATTTTTTTCAAATAACGCAGCAATAACGCAATTAAGATATTGCCAAAAATTGGAATTCGAAGCGGACCCTATTAATAAATTTAAAACCTTAATAATAAAAACTATGTTTTCCGATTTCAAAATCAATTATATAAATTTTATCGCAATTAACATATTGCCAAAAATTGGATTTCGAAGCGGACCCTATTAATAAATTTTAAACCTTAATAATAACATTTTTTTCCGATTTCAAAATCAATTAAATTTCCTTATATAACGCAATTAAAATATTGCCAAAAATTGGTTTTCGAAGCGGGCCCTATTAATAAATTAAAAGTGTATAATATAAAAAACTAAAAATTTTCGGACGGACCCTAATAATAAACACCTCGGGGTTGACTAGTTTTTATTATTAGGGGGCGAAACCCACAAATGGTAGCTTAATTTTTAATTTGTTTTCTAAAGGGGATCAATTAAAAGTCAAATTGGCCAATCTGAAATATTCCAAAATTAGAGATGGACCCTAGTTTTTAGTCTTGGGGGGGTTAGTAATAGGGGGAAAGGATTATATGCGAAGCACGTATAGTACTAGCTGAAATGATCTTCGAAGCAGCATCCTGGTGGGAAATAGCCATTGAGGCCATTGTAGGTCGTCACAGGCAGGATTTCTTGCGGATTTCTAGGATTCATAAGTGCCACCAGTTGGTGGTATGCAGTGATATGCAGTGATATGCAGTGATGAAGTGTGGTTGACACACTGAATCTTTTCTTTTTCTGAGCCCTCCAATCCATCCAAGCCCACCATAGTGATAGTAAGTGGGCAAATTTGGGCTATTTCACCTCCATAAATGTTTCCATTTTCTCCCCCATATTATATTTGGAGTGTTGGGAGCAGCCCCGTGCAAGTGGAATAAATAAATCTCATTGCATCTCATTGCTGATTTTCCTGTATAGTAAATCCACCAGACCTGGGGAATCTACAGTATATAATTTGCATACTTATAATATATATATATATAATATATATATAATACGCATAAATATATATATATATATACATACATGGCGGAATAGTTCATTTTTATTTTGGTGGCCCCTGGAGCCGTAAATCTTTCCAAGACAAGTTACTAGTGGATGAGTTTCTCAGCATATCTTCCAGGTTGTCCAGGAGGGATCGGAGATCACCGCAGGACATGGTAGCTTGAACGTGCCCAAGGCAAAGCAAAAGAAGCCGAGTTCGGGTTCCATCGTATCTGAAGCCTCCTTGTCGGCCACTTGCTGCGGTGGGGTGTGACATCCCAGGAAAGCATAGGGGAAGCATAGAAGGCCCATGAAGGCCGCCTTTTTTGGGGAGGATGGTTTTTACATGTTTTTACTACGCCTTGCCTGGCAATATCTGGTAATTAAGATAAGGTGAATTCAAGTTAGTTCATGCGAAAGTCCATGCAATTCATGGTGCCTCCACCTATCAGCTACCTCGGATGTGGGATGGTTCCAACCCAAGTCCTGGATGTTGAAAATGAACATGATTTTTGGTCAAAAGACTTTAACACAATTGGTCAGACTTAGTTTTATCCCCTCAATTGGACATGATCTCTCACAAGTCGCCAAGGCGTCCCTACATGTCCCAACCTAGCTTGAACTTCGGGAAGCCACAAGGGCCACAAAGGATTCAACTTTTTGGGCCTTTGATGCTTTTGATCATGTTGATTTTTTCCCGGAAGTCAAAGTTTACCAGGCCGAACTAAACCCAAACATCACCAAACCTTGGAATCATCATCAAGAATTCTGCAACAAGAGGTTCAATGCTTACACAAAAAGATATAATAAACTACAGATTCAAACCTGTTCATCCAATGCACGCACCAATGCTGTCAGGGTGAGATATTTTTTCGTGTTCCACATCTATTTGGCGGGGATTATCAGAACCTCATGTTGGCCGCACTTTTGGTGAAAGCACCCCATATATGCTGAGATACAGATGTGGGAATGAATCGAAACCCTAAAAAGATAGACCGGTAGTGTTTTACTTCAACGCCACTAAGACGTGTCCTTTCTCTCTCGGGTTGTAAATCATCTTGAGGTGGAAAGTGTTCGTCCACTGGCCTCTGACGTCGTACCACGAGCACGAGAGATGGCCAAGGTGTTTTTAGCCTGCGGAAACCAACCAGCGGGCGAATGGTGGGTGAATGCTATTCTTCATGTCTGTTTTTGTGTCAGGTATGACAGATGAATGGTTCGTGTCTCGTGTTGGCAACAGGAAATTGAGTAGTTTCAAAGTTTCAAAAGCCTCAGTATATGTGGGTTGATGATACCATACAAATATATCTATATATATATAATATCATGGGGAACAATTATATGCTTTCACTTCGGCACCGCGCCCTCCAAGGAGACCTATTAGCTCTATGAAGGAGTCGTTTTATATAACTGCTTTATTTGTTTCACGTTTTGTCGGCCGTAGATTCATGTGAATTAAGACCTGGTAAGGAAAAGAAAGAACTAGACTGGAAAAGGGGAAATCGACACAAATCACATATAAACCTTCATGTAATCCCATTAAACCGCCAGTTTTGATGGTGAACCCCCCTGTTACTTGGCGGGTAAGCCAACTTACAACTGGGGAGAGCTGCCAGGTGGCGTCACGTCGAAGCCCAAACCTCAAACAGCGCACCGGCTGGCAGGTATGGGCTGCAGGCATGGGACAAACCATAGCCATACCCGACACATGTTCACAATTATTACAGTAATCAGTGGCCAATGTGGCCATTTATAAGGACCCTCAATTGGAGGTACCTATGTAATTATATATATATATTATATCACACATGTGAAGGCTAAGGAGATATATCCCCGGAAATTATGGCTTTATGTCGGACAGTGCCTCCAGTTTAGCTGCCTGAAGTGGTCCTTGTTATGGGTAAATCATAGGCGCAGGGCAGGGAGAGATATTGTTGACTTCAGATTTTCCATTTAGCCAGACCGATCTGGACCGTTTTAGGCCATGTTTTTGTTGCTCCATCCTTCATATTATGTTCCTCTTCAGGTCTTTCACATATTTTTGACATGTTCGAGTTTTTTCCTTTTTGCCTTTGTTTAAAGAATTTGTTGATGCTGTTACTGATTGACATTATGGGAATGTTGAACTTAATTATAAAGTGGTTTATCCGTATTAATTACTGGTATTTTCCATAATCACCAACGATACGTCCATAAATCCCTGAGATGGTCTTCGCATTCCATAATTATGTCGTTGCGTTCTATTTTATTCTTAAAGAGTCTAGTGACAATTTGATGTTCAATTTGCATCACTTGTCATACAATATCATACAATCAAAAACGGTAAAAGTAATATGCCAGAATATGTTTGTTTAGTTCAGTATGTTCCCTAACTTTCTGGGCTCAGAGATAGCCAGGGTGATTTTCGCCTCTGATTTTGGCATTGAATCCCATGGGGAACAGCCTCTTCGAGCCCAGGAAGCACAAAGTTCACACCGTTCCAAGCATGTTGGCCCTGGAATCCGCCATGCTGCACAACCTGGGGCATGTAGGTACGCGGAAGGGAAGGGTCTGCCATGAGGACGTTTACTAATGTTGAGTATGAAAAGCCAATAGGTTTCTATCATGTACTAATTTAATGTGTTAAATATATTTATCTATTTACAAAATATATATACATATATAATTCGATAATTATATGGCTGGTTTCTATCATGTAGTAATTTAATGTGTGTTAGATAAATATAGATATTGGATATTTATATTTTTTATTTACAGAAAGCATATACAGTTATGGCTATAGCCTATTAAAAGTCGTCACCCACTAACTCCAACCCAGGGCCGCTGCAGCCCCGGCACAAGGCTCTCCCAAGGAGCGAAGCGATTCCATCTCGAGCCCAACCGACGCCAAGCGATCGCCGCGCGAATCGAAGGACCCGGGGCCGCTGGGGATGGGTAGAAACCCTGAAGAATGAGGATTTCACCAAGAAACATAGGGGTTTTGTGGGGTTTCTTGTGGGATAAGCCATTTAACCAGTGAAAATGGGGGGTTCACCATATGAACTGTTGGGCTAACGTGGTTTCACCATCGAAAATGCGGATTCTGGATGATCAACGGCACAATCTGTCCTGCAAGTTTCACAATCCAAGTTTCACAATCTGATCGCTAAGCTTCACAATCCGATGTTGACCGAGAAACGGAGATATAGTGAAGCATTGAATGTGTTTTGAATACCAACATGTGTATAAGTATAACTATATACATATATGTATTAACGTTTCCGGATGTAAACACGAAAACACTAATGTTCCCAATGCAGCTCTGGCTTAAAGGATCTGTTGTATGTGGGGTCATTGCCCAGAGTGCGGTTGCCTCATTTGCAATACCTTTCCCCGCATCTTCCACCTCATTGCCTCGGAGATAGGGAAACCTGCCTACGAGTCCTACGTGAACTTTGTGGGCAATCACCTGAGGCATCTGGAAGGATAGGTGCGGGAAGAACTGGCCAGGAGGGCAGCTCCCCCTCCTGCCAGAGTTTTTACTGCTGCAGCGCCACCTGCTCGAGTTGGCCAAGGTACCACCTCCTGATCATCCACTCATCCACTTCAGCTTGTAACCAAGGTACCACCTCCTGATCCTCCGCCACAACTCGCACCAGGTTTTCCAGTGACCGAACCATCAGGTGTCAAAAAAGAGATCCCAGAAAGCCATCCGTCAAAGCTTCAACAACTCGTTCACCCAGGACAAGAGCCAGAAGTAGCGAAGGCAGAAGAAGTAGAAGATCTGAGGAGCCAAAGAAGGGAGAGGAAGTCTCTCCCATTCGAAGAGAAGAGCCTAAGAGAAAGAAAATTAAAGATCGAGACCGAAAAAGGAGGAGAAACACATCAAGCAAAGAGAAGCGCTCAGAAGGAGGGAGAGAGAAGAAGCGTTGACACGAAAGGCCACCTGAACCTGACCATCCCCCTGTGCATCGGCGGGATCAAGGAAATTGGGGTCCACGTGAACCTGAGTTCCCTCCCTCCTGATAGACAGAGGAGAGGTTGGCAAGGAGCTCTACCTCGCAGTGATCATCCGAGGTGGGCCTCATCGGAGAATAAGGCCCAGGCAAAAAGAGCGAAGCAGGAGTTGTATAACAGAAGAAATTATAAGTAAGAGGGAAGAGACAATGCCTCCCAAAGGGGCAAGAAGAGCTTTACGATCCCCGGCCGCTGCACCTGGCATCTTGAAGAGGCCAGCAAAGAAAAGAGAGATAGAGGAGGCGGACGATGAGGCCAAAAAAAATCAGACATTTTCTTAAGTGAACCTGAGGAGTCACAGGTCGTGGATCTGTCGTGCTTGAGGATGTCAGGTATTATGGACAAGCAGCCCCTGTTGCAGGGCATTTCAAAGGCTTGAGCAGTGAGGGAGAAGGGCTTTTCGCCAAACTAAAGGTGAGTGGTACAAGAAATGAGGAGCTACTTAGAGTGCTGAGCGGACGCAAAGACAAAGTTGTCCACGTCCACCTTTGCGAAGAAGGATGCACAGGGCAGCTGTCAGATGAGATGCTCTTGCATGCCTCGGGTTTTGAGGATACCGAGCTGAACAGAGTCCCCTGGCTAACAAACCTTCAGGGCATGAGAGAGGAGGATGAGATGCCTGATGAACTGGCTGATCTCAGGAGAGAACAAGAAAGGATGGAGAAGGATTCAAAAGAGGTTCACAAAAAGACGGAAAAGAAAGAGAAGAAGCGCAGGAGGAAACCAGGTGAGCAAGAAGGGAGATGCCCCAAGTCTCCCAAAAAAGAGAATGGGGAGTTGGACGAAAACCAGTGGAGGACGTCTTCAAAGACACCGGCATGGATCCAGAACCCTCGAGGAGAGCCCGAGTAATTATTAAAGAGGGCTAGACGCATTGGAAAAAAGAGAAAGAAAAAAGATAAAGGTAGTTCATCATCAAGTGATTCCTCTCGGAGCAGCTTGACGGACTATGGCAATGAAAGTTTGTTTGAGGAGGAAAAGAAGCTCCGAGCGATCTGGCTTCGATGCCGCAGGTGCTCTAGTACCCAGGTTTATTCAAGAAATCAAGCGAAATTTGATGACCTCGGCAGGCACGGTTTGGGACCTCAACAAGTCTATAGCCTGCCTCCCCTTTACACCCAGTATGGGAGGCAGGTGATGATGCCAGGGATGTCGGCATCTTTACAACAGGGAGGCCTCACCATCTGCCATCTGCCAAGGTTTAGACCTGCTGGTACAAGGTTGTGTGGCTTCCTGCATGGACCTGCTCAACCAGCGTTTGAAAAGCTTAGAAGCCCTGGGAAAGGGGGCGCACTGGCCTTTGCGCATGCAATACGAGCTGGTGAAGGTCAAAGAAGGAGGCATGACAGAAGAGACAGAGAAGCTAGGAGCCGCACGGAGGGCGCGAGAGGAGGAAAGGATGAGGTCTTTGATGATGAGGCCGCAAGGTACCAAGGGAGGCGAGGCCCGCCAAGAAGGAAAGACCAGAAAAGAAAAGGAAGGAAAGGGTGCCAACAAAGGTTCGTCTGGAGATGGAGGAAAAGGCAAAGGTGGCCAAGGAGGGAAGGACAATAACAGAGGATCATGGGAAAAGAAGACAGAGAAATGATTGGGAATACATCACCAGACAAACGCGGACACCCTTCCAGCCTTGAGTGCGTTAAAAACTTTGAGGAGTGAGGATCCTGTGGCAAAAAGACAGAAAAGGATGGCTAGAGGAAAGAGACACAGTGCAACCAAAGAGAGCAGGAGGAGAGCTTCACCTCTGAAGATGTGGAGAGGCTCACTGACGAAGCTAAGAGCGGCCATGTTGGAAGAAGGGAGTCAACCTGGTTGGCGGCGGGAAGACTCCCATATGAAGAAGGAATTCGCTGCAAAGGCTGAGAAAGGGAGTGAGCTGCAGGACCCCCACAGAAGCAAAGAATTTAGCGCAAAGAAAGACGAAGGGAGTGGCAATGTTCGAGAGGATGACTCCCGGTGTGGGACTGAGAGGGTGCAGGGCCGGATTAGAGCGCGATTAGCTGACCTCTGTGAAGGTTGCACCGTCGGTGATTTAGGCTGCCTGGCAACAGATGTCCTACATATGCCCGAACCTACTTCACAGGCTTGCAGACCAGGGTCCACGACTAGGAAGTACGACATTTTCCATTTCCAGTCCCCAGGACGCTGTTTACCAGGTTTCAGCGATCATCCATTTCTCCAGGTGCTTGTAGGGTGCCTAAACAGCTTGCACAGCTGTGGCGCAGCAGGCCGAGGTGACGTAGTATCACCATCTGCCCGAGGGGTGCTGAAAAGATTGGAAACCGGTGCATGGTTCACATATACTTGCCGAAAAACTTCCTGAAATCGATTTTGGTAGTTTTTTTCATTCAGAGGGGTTTGGATTATGCAGGTGAGGAGGTTAGGTTGGCACAGCCAATATCATGACATCAGGGAGTTTTGCACTGGTGGTATTCTACATTTTGGCAACAACATTGAGGAGACTATCATTCCAATGGAACTACAACAACCTATTAAGTGTCCTTCTGTTATGATTTGTGACAGGGATTGGGAAACCTTTAGCACGCGGGCTTGTTGAACGTGGTCTATGCAAGATTCTTTGTCAAGATCAACTGTATCACATTGGAACACAGCCGTCATTAAATGGACTTTTCTCTGTTGGAAAGGACGAGGTGAAGAACCAGGTCCCGGTGAGTAGACTAATAATGAATCTAAAACCATGGAACTCCATCAGTCATGGTCTTTCTGCTGAAGTAGGGACTTTGCCAGCTATCACCCAAATGGGTGCCCTCTATCTCCATGACAATGACGTCTTGGCTTTACCTCATCCGAGGACTTGGGCTGCTTTTTCTACCTGTTCCAGGTACCGGAGGCTTGGAGCCGATTCATGGGCTTTGGGAGAGAAATACCTCGGAGTATGATTCCACCCGGGGGTGAAGGTAAGAAGTGCTTCCGGACCGTCTTACCAATGGGATATTTAAATTTCAACAGTGTTGGGATTGCCCAATCCATCCACCGGGCGGTGATCTTAAGAGCCATCAGATCTATAAAGGGACTTGGCAAATCAGTGCAAGAGATAAGGCGTGACCGGGTGTTCAGTTGCTGTTCAAACCTCTTCAGAGTTTACCTTGACAACTTCGACCAGCTTCAAAAACTAGGCAACAGCATCTGTAAGAGGCCGTGCCGGTGATAACATCACACAGTGCCAGGACGATGAGGGAAGTGTCTGACATTGTAGTAATTTATAATTTTTTATATTTCTGGAACAAAGTTCTGGTGCAAACCCCTTGGAAGGGCCACTTCAAAAGTGGAAAATCTAGTGTTTTACAAGCACGAAACAGGAGTTTCGTTCGTCGAGGGTTTCGCCGAAAAGTTCCTTTTTCCTTCCAAGCACAAAGTTGTCCGAGGTTGTTCAGGACATTGCCTTTGACGCTCTTGTGCCAGACTGCAGCATACAAGTACTTCCAAAATTTTCTGAAGTCTTGTCTGCAGTCTTTATGTGTATTTTAACCAATCCCACTGTTTGTCTAAAGTCCGTGTTCCGGCCAAAGAGAACTCTTTTTCGTGGCTTCCTCCCAGTTGCTTCACAAACTCACCGCGGTTGTGGGCAAAGTTTTCCCATTTGAGGCATTTTTCTGGCACTTGTTGTTTGGAGGCTCCTTTCCAAGCTTTGCAACCATCAGCATAGCAAGCTGTTCTGGCTCGTAGCATGACGCATGTGTGGAAGTGCAAGAGAACGTGCAGCAGCGTAGCAAGACGTATGTGTGGAAGTGCAAGAGAACGTGCAGCAGCGTGGAAGTGCAAGAGAACGTACTGTGTGGTTGCAGTCGCAATGAACGTTACCATCCCACCCCACCCACCCCACCCCCCCACCCACCCCCACACCCAAAATATCCACACGCGCATCGCCTCTTACTGGTGTTGACACCAAAAGCTG